AGCCATGGAAAGGAGAATGCTCAATCTATCATTACGGGACAAAATCAGACATACCTTCATCAGACAAAACAAAGGTCAAAGATATCATAGAGAAGATCAAGGAAATGAAATGGAGATCCGGCAGGGCACTTAGCAAGAAGACAAGACAACAGATGGATCAAGAGACTCACAGAATGGCAACCAAGGACAGGCAGAAGAAGAAGAGGTAGACAAAGGAGATGGAGAGCTGAAATCACCACATACAAGAACACGGCAACATGGAGTAGAATGACAAACAGAAGAGAATGGAAACTGCTTGAGGAAGGCTTCATCCAACAGTGGATGACCACAGCCTGATGATGATGATGATGATGATGACGATGAAAAGGCATACTAAGAACCAACTTCACTTTACATAAATAACATGCGTCCTGACTGTTTAATGAAATCAGCATTTACTTTAAATATGATATCTTTTAATAGTGTCAGACGCTATCGCACCCGAAAAACGTAATGCATTATCCTATCTCAATTTTTCCTTGAACGGATAAATTGTCAGCTATAAATTAACAGGGTGTTAGCGGCCAAGGTGGGAAAGACAAGTTCTGCAATTTGAATTGAAAATAGTGTTTATTTCAATATCATTTGTCAAATTAGTAATTTAAACAAGAGCCCGCGCGTTCTATACTTGTAAGCGGTATGAAATGCATTAATACATTTATTTGAATGCATATACTCCATATTTAACATTGCAAATATTTCGTCACCGACACCACGAAGTAACACTCTACCGTGTTAAAGCATATTTTTTTCGATTTTCAGTTTTTTGGATTTTTAAACATTATTCATTAAGGCCTACCATTGCACGAAGTCTCAAAGCTTCAAGAGCTTTACTTTAATAATTACGCTAAGTATCCATGGCAACTTTTGCGCAAAATTGACAATTTTCGTTTTCACGAAGTAACACTCAAGTTCCATTTTCCATTGCAATGCATGGCGCGCACTCTGCTCATAAGTGAGCAAAAACGTTTTCACGAAGTAACACTCTTCTTGTAACAAGTTGTATGAGCGCGCGCGCGCTGACCTGAAGTTGCACTTTCCTCGTGTTAAATACATTGAAGAGTGTTACTTCGTGAAAACGAAAATTTACAGTTTCGCAGCTTTTTCGGTTTCACGAACTAACACTCATCTTTTTTCTCTTATTTCTTGTTTATTTAATACACAAACGAGTGAAAAACAGCAGATTTAATAAACTTAATTCATCAAGTGTCCACAACGAGAAACCCAACTGAAAATACTCTGTCGTTTTGACGCAAAGTGTCGTTTTAGAAGGCGTTCAACTTTAGTTGCCGTTTTCTCCGATTGCTAGTTTTTACTGGTATGTAGATGGGTGTTACTTCGTGGTGTCGGTGACGATTTACTTAAACTTGGTTTTGTAAAAAGCCACAGGACCATTGGTCTATTTCGGTCAGAGAAAGCACTAGCCCGGCATTAAATCACTTAGAACGGTATAGTGGGTGCACCGTATACCTAAAGCACTGAATGTGGGCTTCGCTGCATGCAACACATCCAGTTTAACGGGAATGTACATCATTGGCTTTTGCTGTAATTTTTAGAAATGAACTATTTGAGGGGTTGGTATAATAGATCAAATATTGTTACACTGACATGTTTGAAGTTTTTTTTTCTTTCGAAAATGCTGGAAAAACCAAGAAAAACTAAAATGTTCAAGTAGTCTGGTTCCTCGACTCCACTAAAGATAAAATGGATCAATTTATAGATGCCGGAAAATTGTAAGGTAATGGAACCAGTCTAGCTGGCCTGCACCCGTTCATGAACATGTAACCAATAGCAAACAAAATGTGGACTGAAAAAAGTGTAAAGTTGGAGCAGTAGTTGAAAAATAGTTAAGTTTTTCCAACGGTGGTCGGCCGACCACCATTGGAAATGTATACAAAAATACCATTTTCTTGAAAATAACTTCACACCAGGTGCCATAATTTTACAGGATGCTTTAGACTGTCATTTGCCAACATCCTAGTAAGGTATTTCGTAAAAACTTGGTAGTTTTATTTTTTCGATGTTTGCAAATGTTGTATATTCCCTTTAAACTTGATTTTTTGAACATGGGGTTGCCTTTCCTTTCTGTAGGGGCCTATTTGTTTTGGGTGCACTGTATCCTCATCATAAGGTAGTTGTTTAGATTTGCGTTAGACTTTCTTTCCAGTACCTCGCCGGGGGAGGGGGAGGAGGGGTGGAGTGGGGGTGGTTCAGCCACTGCTCGTTGTTTTGGTCACCAGGATTCCCCTGGCCCCGTACTTGCCCCCCGTTTCATAACACGAGCAGTTAGTCAGCCCCGATACTAAAGACGGTAGTTCCGGCTCTGGAAACTGTTAGTGAAAGCCGCAGGTTATTGCTGCAGGCTTGCCCTGTGCGATGATTCAGGCCATAGGCCTATCATAGGCAAAACGACCCGTTAAAAAAAAATACACAGGCCGTGTTATGATCGCGCTGCCCAGTGACCGTACTTGCTGTTAGCGCATCCTGGGAATTCGTCATAGGCCTTTGCAATAGGCCTACTGGGTACCCTGGGCGGAATTAGGGGAAAAAACAACTTGTTTGTTTGCAGATCAGTGGCTACATATGTTTACCGATTTTTTTATCTGCTAGTTTATGTTGAATGCAGTGTCAACACCCCCTAATTTCCAAAGAGTGGACCAGACGGTTTAGAGTGAAAAGTATTACATCATTAGACTGAAATACTATAGGGGGGAGGGAATGTTAATTCATTGGAAACTTGAGCGGGAGCTCAATCTTCTTGATTTTCTGGTAATGAAACCAATGATTACTCAAATGTGCTTTATATAGGCCTGTAGCTCGAAAGCCAGAAGAAACCTGAAAGATACATTGCCAAATTGGTATACACATTCCCGAGTTGTAGAAAACAGTGAGAAGAAATTACAGTTTTAGAGGTGGGAGAAAAAAAACTCAGAAGAATATTCTGGGGAAAAACCCTCGAAATCAATTAGAGACTAAAAACCCAATCCACATTGACCAAGGCAGGCATCGAACTTGCTGCAGCGGTAGAAGGCGAGGAAAGAACCCCTGTGCCAACCTGACTCCCCTATACTTCAATCGTTGGGAGTGTATCTTGATTCGAACAGAGTGAATTTTGACTCTTTGGTAATATAAAGAAAGCAAGCATGACACCCCCCCCCCGCGGAAATGTCCGTCTATACCTTACAGGTACACGTACCGGTACTATGAGCGTCGCGAGGGGGGGGGGGGGGCTTCCCCCCCCCCCGCCCCCGGAAGAGGTGGGAAGCCATAGTACCTTCACCCTTACAGAACGAAGTCAAATGAAGTCAGACTTGTCTTGAAAAAACAGTTGAATTGTCAGCTGGTCGCAAATGATATTGCAAGACTTGATGGGTACAGGCTATATACTCTTTGAATGACAAAATTTGCATCTAGGTTGACAGGTGACAGTTGTGTGATTGGGTTCGCGCCAATTGGTAAAGAAAGACATCAGTTGAAATATGATCAGATAGACACTACCGTTACGGTTGACGAGATTGGCGTCACTGAGTCACTGACTATGAAATATTAACCACGGGACGTGTTAAAGATATCCAGATCTTCTACTTAGGGAGTACACTTGCTGTACATGTATTTTCTATCATGGCCATTTTCTATCGTGAACCAAGAGTCAATACTATTCAAACGCCGCTTTGTATTCATAAGCTGACAAATTTTGTAATGCCAGCTCGCTCCACAAATATATCATGTCAAACACACAAAAACGATATTCGCCCATGTTTTAGAACAGCACTGCATTTCCATTTACTATATTTATTCGTTCCCCCCCCCCCCCCATAAAGTATCAGAAACGGGAAGTGATAATAGTCTAGCCCCGATATCATAATCTTTCCCAACTACATGTATATAATATAGGTGTACATTCTGAAAGGGCCCATGCACTGTTAATTTTGTTTTAAATGCAATCATAGAAAACGCACCTCTGTGTCCCATTTAAGCTCATTTTCAATTTGTTTTTTGCCAATTTGAAGGGTATTTTGGTGCCTTTTTAATGCTTATACAAATGTCCATATTCATGAGCAAAACTGTGTTGTCATTCCGGGCAGAAACCTCAATGTTACAGCTATTTCAGCACCAACATTTGCCAGAATTTTGGATATTTTGCTGTCGTAATTGTGTTTTTTTCCTTTGATGATTTGCTGCTGTTTCAGGACATGACAGTATAAAGCCAATGAACAAAGTTTTTTCACAAATATTTTCAATAAGCAACTTTTCGGGTTCATAATTTGAACCAAAAGCCCCAAACTGAACAGTGTCTGCCTGAAATGACATCACAGCAACAGCGCCCTCAGTTGTCCTGATAAGCATGGGAAATGTTTAAATCTCTAAAGAAGTGCACCTTTCAATAAAATTAACCAAAAAGGGATGTCAAATGGTGTTCATACATTTACAAGGAGTAGAAAGTTGCACAAAATATGGTCCTAAGAAAAAAAAATCACTTCATGCACCTTTTAATATGTTATCAGTTGAACTCAAAATCATGGCAGCGTCGCTGCCGCGCGCACTTAAACTCAAACAAATTCTGTCATCATGTGTGATCATTTTTGTTGTTCATTTCCAATTGCATAATTACATAATAACTGAGGAATGTTAAATTTCCTTTGTTAATCTGTTGCCCCTCTGCACAGATAATTATGCCATCAAGTAGAAACACGGCGACGTTGTGCCGCGTGTAAAATCGAAACAAAATATTTCATCATGTTGGATCGTTTGTTTTTAATTTCTAGTTACATAATTGCATAATCATCGAGGAGTATTATTATTTCCCATGCTAATATGTTGCTGCTCTGCACACAATAATGTCATTAAGTAGGAACAAGCATGGAAACGTTAGTGCCGCGTCTAATACAAATGGGGAAAATCTTTCATCGAGTTAAAAAATCATATGTTTTCATTTCCCAATGCCTTTCTGCGAAAAACAGAGTTGCCTCCGATTCCAGTCGTCACACAGCGCCTCTTGACACCGTCCACGGCCCGCTTGGAGCTGAGCCCGGCACCAGACCGGTTGGACTTCGACAGGTATCAGATGACCGTGAACCGGACCGGTGTGCTCCTGTCCATGCCACTCAACAAGGACGCGACGGGGTACATGGTGGACGATCTAACGCCTGGCGAGGAGGCTACAGTGCGGATCATCACCGTACGCAACGGCATCAAGAGTGATCCGTTAGTGATCCGGGTTCCGGATCCGCAAGTCACAAGTAAGTTAACGTAAGACGTAGATCCCTATTAAGAATGTGTAAGATTCCGGGTGCGGTGACCGTAATTAAGGCGATGGCACAATTCTGATAGGTGCACTTCAAAAATCTGCTAGATTTAACAAAAATCTGCTAAATCACCTATTAGTACACGAAATACATTATAACCACTTTAGGGCCTATACTCGCATGCAGATGTTATAACAATTCCTTCAACAAAACAAAAATCATAAAATTTACGTGAACAAAATTTAAAAAAAAAACGTGTCTAGCCTGGCTTGCAATGGTCTAAAGTACTTTACTGTGTACCAATTCACGTCAGGGAACCTCAAATTGAAGCTTTTTCTAATCAGCTATATATTTGAAATCTACCATATTTTTTTGGTCAAATAACCAATTTTTTACAATCTTCTGGTAGAAATCTGCTAAAAAATCATTCTGCTAAATTTTCTGTTTAAGGCCAAAAAAAAAAATAAGTCGGTCTCTGGTCAGCGCGCGCGTCGATTTTAATCATGCGCGTCGATCTTTTTTTTTTCCAAAATGTTCCGCGGTAGCTCCAACAGCGCCCTCTATTTCCGCCCCTCAATTTGTTTTACCAAAGAGCACCAAAGAATGGGAAATTGCACCAAGGCAAATGATCGAAAGCACCAAGGCAAACTATAGAGGACACCAATGTACATGAGGACACCGAAAAAGCAAAATAGTACCCCACCTTGTCTGTACAATCCAAGCTTGAAGAAAAAAAAAATCAAAAAAAAAAAAAGCCGCATCGCCGCGTCAATTCCGGAACTTTGGTCTGACCAGAGACCGAATATTTTTTTTGGGGGGGGGGCCTAACTCGGATTTTTTTCCGAAATATCTTGTCAAATTTAGCCGAAATTTGGCTAAAACGGTCACCCTGGTAAGATTCCCAAATTAGTCACTGCCATGTACTTGGCTTTTCCGTTTTTGCTTAAACGTTACCAGAATTCCCCGGGAGCGATGGAGTACAGGCCTAGTTATGTATTTTCACAGGAATATGGGTAATGGATTGAAAAACACCGCAACCTTGACTTGTCCATTAATCCTCAGACTTCCCATGCAATTGCAATAACACATATAGATTCTTGAAACTGTCACTTCGAGCGGGCAAAATGAACTCCGTAACTAGCCGCCATGCATATTTTCGTTTAAACGGTCTTCATTCTGAACTGTACCCAACAAGAGCGTAAATCCCAGGGATGGGGGTACCCCCCCCCCCAAAAAAAAAATGACCGAGGTGAGCCATTGGATCATCTCCCCAGAAATTTGTGCTTAACAAAGAAAATGAAATCCTAATGGCCGCCACTCAAAAATTAACCCTTAAATTGGAATATTAAGCAACAGTTGTGTTGAAATTGGAGCCCAAAGTTTCTCTCTTTTGCAACGGAGTGCAGGGATGTCCCCTGTGTCCCTTTAACAGTAGGCTACTGAGTGAAAATACTTTTTTGTGCAAAAACGAACCAGACTTTTTCCTTCCAGCCTCGCTTGATTTGAATGTGGAAAATCACTATGGCCGTAACATGATAATGGTTTATGACCTATATAATCATTTGCAACGCCTGGGAACTTTTCAGGATCTGTTCAGTCGTAAAGTAGGCATACGAAGCCACAAACTCAAGAACATTACAGTGTATATGGCTCCTTCCAGTTGGTTTTGAAAGAGCTGCTTTTTGAACGGATTCTAATAGTTTTTCATGCAATCTGTAACGATTTGAGCTGGCCTATAGTTAATTGGCAATGCAATTGTAGCCTCGTTCTCGTTCAAATATGGCCGCCCCTTGCAGATAGTAAACTCCCATCAGTCCCCTGAGTGTTATCATGGCTAATTTTACGCACAAATCCCATTGAATTTTTAAAGTCCGCATCGTCATATAATCACTCGAAACCATTTCATAATATTGCAATATGTCTTACGTGTGGTGCCCGGAGACAACTTTGTCCTGCTAGCCTCGCCTTAGGTTAGGATTAAAAAACGCCCATTGAGACACAGATTCATACGATTTTAATGAAGTTGAATACAATTAGTCATGCTCCGGTGGTATCGACCGAACAAAATACTCCCAAAGGCGTTCAGTGACTAATATAAACAATGGACCCTCATAATATTCAATCACACACACAAAAAACTGACCTGGCAGAATTGGGGACAGGTTCCATCCGGTATAATAAAATCAAATTCGTCCCATGGGCTTCTATGTCTGGGGGCTATTGTAAACTAATATCATTCCCTATCTGTGAAAGAAACAAACGTAGTTCATATTATTGGCGTAAGTTTTTAAAAGGATGCCCACATCTGGTCGATGTCTAATTTAAAAGCATGACGAGGATCATTTACCTTTCGTGCATTTTGTTCGTTTCCAATAATAACACCACTCAATATCCAAAGGAGAATGTTCAAAACCTTACCAGTCCCGTTGAAGTTTCAACTCGGTGAATATTACATTTTTTTCGAGAAAACACTGAATAACACACTCAACCTTTTTATCCTGAAACACGATTTCTTCTATAAAAGCACTCTTTTTCACTTCAAAAAATCAGTCATTTCATTGACTGACCGTTGGAAATCACCTACATTTCTTAATTTTGTTTCAAAATGACAGTAAGTCAGACGGAATCTACGGGGTGTTTATATTGTGTACCAGTACGATCTTTAAAGTTGGTATACACACGTGGTTTTTTTTTCTTTCAAAAATTCGATTTTCTTTTCAGAACGAAATTTAAAGGGAACAATTAATGTCCCGTAACACATAAACGTGCTTGTTTTTGCAGGCCTTTGTGCAGTTTTTAAAAAGCGGTTTAAATGGCGCGCTTCAGAAATTGCTAACAATATTCAGAACGAATTAGCAGCGTCCCGCTCTTAATTCAAAAGTTGAAATTACTTAATTGATTACTTGTCATGGGCCATATTTTTGTCATTTTTTTCGTGCGATGTCTCATTGGAAAGCTCATAACTAATGTAATGCTAGAAAATTATCAACTCAATTTAAAAAAATCTATTTTTCAAGATGCCACACCTTAAAAGCCCGTTTACACCAACTTTAGTCCACTCCATAGGACGATTTTTGATTATAATTTAGCAGGTTGCTTTTAGGATAAATGCAAATGATGCTATATGCCTTTAATGCTAGTTTGATGATGTCGAAGTCCAAAATCTTCTGTATATTTTCGTGATCATAAGTCAAGCGCCATCATCGCCAAGATGCCCGGCAGTCAATTTTGTTGGGGTGACGTGCACAGCTTTGACTCGTATCGTAGTTATTTTCTGTAACCAAGCTAAGCAGTTTTGCCCTAATCAGAAATAAATGGATTCCCTTGTAATACAAAATATCAATCTAAAATCGCAGATCAATTTAATGTTGAACAAACGGAAAAAATGACTTGAGTGGGCTTTGAACAATACCAGAGTCTTTTACATGTACAGCCTGTTTTAAAAAAAAATGGTACAATCAGAAAAAAAATTGGTTAAATATGAAATTTCATAATAAGTCATTCTTACTTGGCATAATATTAAAGAACAAAGACTGGGCTTTCCAATAGTGTTTGTTTGATCATATTTGCTTTGCTTTTGTCAATTCAGAGATATAATCAATTTAGTGCGATACACCAACATCGATTTTGTGCCACTTTTATGCATGGGCAGAGTTGTTTCGAGTACTGTGCCATGCTGTCTTGAAGCTCACAAAAGATTGCAACTTGGCAAAAGAAACAAACTCGATTTTGGTGTTCCGCAGTAAACTGGAGTTATCTCTGGATTGACAAAAGCAAATGAGATGAAACAAAAAGTATTGGAAAGCCTGGTCTTTTTTCTTTAATGTGATGCTCAAAACGACTTACTTATGTTGAGATTTAATATTGAAAATATTTTTTTTTTGACAGGCTGTATAATGCACGGTACTCAAGGCGCTGGAAAATATGTCTATTATTATGGACAGGTATATGAAGTTTATGAGAAATATGAGACCCATTGTGTAGCACCTTATAATTATAGAAGGTGCTGCGGCGCATATTACAGCCACTGCCAGAAACACCGGGGCAAACCGCTTCTCTAAGCGATAAGTGTTACTTGGTTCTTTAACCTGCATTACACAACACACGGGACCTACGGCTGTACGTCCCATCCGAAGAACGAAGCAATAATGGTACAGTGCCTTGCTCAAGAGCGCAAGCACCATGTTCCCACGGTCAGGATTCGAACCCATGCACCACGGCACACGAGTCGAACACCGTAACCATTGGACCACAGCACCCCAACCTTCGTCTTCCAAATCATTGCACTGTGTTATCGAACTTTATGGTGGCCTCTCATTTATTTTGTCACAATATTTGTGAAAGGTGCTAGTCTATATAGCACCTTTAACTAGTCTATATAGCACCTTTAATACCCAAAAGACCAAGCTAGCAACCTTGTAGCTTTGCTGCCTATCTGCGTATAATGTATGGTAAAAACAAATGGGACACGTCAAGTGCAACTGACGGTCGGTGTTGTACTCGAGCCGAACACATGGAGAACTTGTGAAGGTTTTTTGATGGACTCGATTAACAAGACTGCAGATGGTTAACATTTTCTTTCACTCGGCCCATCCCAGAGCCAAGTTCGCCAACGTTCCTAAGGAGGCTCAACCTGGACGGCTCCTCCATCCTGCTCAACTGGGGCACGCCCTCCCCTCCCTTTGACCACTACTACCTGGACGTCCGGCGGGACAACGCCCGTTCGGCCTCCGACCAGACCCAGTGGTCGGTCCGCCTGAACAAGACCACCACCAATTTTCTCCTCTCGGACCGGAAGCGGCGGGAGCGGTACAAGTTCACCCTGTACTCGGTGCTGGGCGACTACGAGGCGTTCAGTAACGGGGTGGAATCCCACGCGGCCCCCAGGGGTAAGTTGAAGAGAGGCTTGGCCTGCGGCCAAGAAAGATTCCAACTCAGAAATTAATAATATCTTATCCGTTTCATTATACGGCCTAATGAATTATTGTGGCAAATGATTTCTGACTTACACAGCTCCAACCCAGTCTGGCGTCAGACTCGGCGCAGTCACCCTGCACGCCATCCAGGTAGCCTGGGAGCCGGTCCTGAATGCCAGCGAGTACCGGCTCAGCCTGGTCAGCGACTCCGGCGAGTCTCGCTCCGTGAGCGTACCCGTTGTCGACGGGGCGGTGGCGCCCAGGGTGCTGGAGCAGGTCTTCCTGGGCCTGGAGGAAGCGATGGGCTACTGGGTGGTCCTGGACGCGGTGATTGCTGGGAAGGCAATGGCCGTCGGCTGGCTGCAGACTCAAACAGGTGAGTTGCCATGGAAACAAGAAAAGGCCCAAATACCAATCGTGTTATAAAAATTGGCGGGAGAGTTACATAAAGATGCACCCCAAATTTTGTATTACCCTTTCTTTGCCCCTTTAGGGGCCCATAAAATTGTTGACTCCGAGCACGATTAACCAATGTAATCCAGAAGTAGTGTTTTAGTTCAGATTTTTCCGAGACCATTCCAGACCTCTTGCTTTCGATCAATTACATACATTTTATGGACAAGTAAGTAAAAAACTATAATTATATATAAAGTATTAATTTTCATTATGTATTTGTTGAGGGGATAGATAGAAAGATATTTAGTATATTGGTTTTTTTACACTCGTAAAAATTACAATTGTAAAAATACTTTACAATTACAAAATTAATTTACATCAATATTAAACATTAAAAAACAACTTATCGAACATGAAAGCTACATTAAAACATTATGCATGCACATTGAAATTACCCCAACCATCAAACAATTACATTCTACATTCAAATGTTACCAGCAATGTTGAGCCAACATTCATTGCCGGGATAAGGTTTTTTGTTTTTCGGATCCAAAACCTTAAACGGGATGTGCTCGAGATCTTTTGAGACTTTTTAGAAATCCATTGGCCCTATGTTGAATGATAATCTTAAGTCCCACTTTGTCGGCGAAATAACCAACTGATTGAATTGAAATGCGTCTTTGTTGTCTTAAATGAAATCCGATGTTCCATTGTAGGATCGTTTGTGTAAGGTCTTGGAAAACGGGTTTTGAAGTCTAGAAGTTTGAAATCGCTTTCAGTTCAAGACAAGCCACATCAATATTGGGATTTGCGAACTCTTCCTGTTACTATAGGCAGTACTGATCGTGCTGCTTCCTTCTTACAAATCCGCAGTCCTTGTGGTAAAGCGAAACTACCAAATTGAAATTGAACTCCGTAAGACATAAATAACTAAGATCCGTGAGTGCTGATCCCGTCAGTCGTGTGGAATTATCTGCCAAAACCCTCATCTTCACATTTTGGTTTCAGGGATTTGTTTCGAGGAGGAAAAGGGCGGATCCAGAGCCCCCCCCCCCCCCAAAAAAAAATGTTCCCACAAATAGTGGGTCCAAACAATTACGGCGTGGGGTTCAGGGCCCGCTTAAGGGCCCCGAATTCTTTTTTGGATTCTAGATGCTCTGTGGTGCGATCCATGGCCTCAACCCCTATGACTTTCATTTAATTTCAGTCACGCATCACTACACATGTCAATTGTCAATTGATCACAACAGCATTTTGGACACTGTGACCAAGTTCCTTGCCTTAATGACTTTCAGTGCGGTGTTATGTAAGCTGTGTAAAATCCTTCATGTTGTGAAAAAAAAGGCTGACGTCATTTGGGATTAGAATCATTTGCCCTTGAGCATTAATCTGAGGTCTTGCCATGAAGACAGGCAAATGATTCCAATCCCAACTGCAGCCCTTTTCACAACATGAAGGCTTTGACACTGAAATTGAGTAAGGCTTGGAACTTGGTCACAGTGTCCAAAATGTTGTTGTGATCAATTGACTATAAATGTTGGGTAGTGATGCGCGACTAAAATTAAATGAAACTCATAGGTGTTGAGGCCAAGGCTTAGGAGTATCTGCACAACCAAACATTTTCAAAATTGACCTCATGGTTTCGTAGTTATTTCAAAAATAGTCAGACGGACACTTTTTGGGGGGACATATTGTAGTCCACTGTTTGAAACCAGACCACATAATTATGTGCGGTTGCTTTGCTGGTTACCAACAGCCGCGCACACCATAATGCACAACATGCAGGGAGCCAGGACCACGACGTTTTGGTATTATACATTTTGACCAGCGTTTAATTGACTGGGGACGTTCGGACGTTGACATTAGTGCGCAGGCGTAAGATACGTCACAAATCAACCACCAGTCGACTAGCAGTCCTCGCCCGAGCTTACTCAAGGTTGCAAGCGATACGAGACAGCTGATAAAGCTGAGACGAATTCAATTGGAAGATTACGGGGAAATAGCACCCTGTCCCTTTTATTTGGCCTACAAGAATATGACGAGTTTAATTTTGATCCCCTAAACTGTAAAGAGCCTGAATTAAAGCACTGTAAATGCCGGAGATTTTCACTGTTTCCACTTTTGAAGTTTTTTTTTCTCCTTGGCAACACAGTGATTCATCAAAAATTCCTGTCAGAATTTTTGAGACACGGCTTCCGGTGTGATAGAATCGGATTATGAGATCCCACCCCAGAGATATCCATTGTCACTTACGATATGATGAAATGATTGTCTGATAATTATTATAGCAAATGTGGCGGGGGTGGTTAATATGTGGGCCGGGGTCTGCACCTAAGGACAAGGTCGAGTGGTACTTTGACCATCGGCAACATAATATCCAATGAAGTGACATTTGTTTGTTTGTTGTTATATTAGTCAACTTTTTTATTGCTTGATATTATAGTAAATGTCGGGATTGGGGTGGTTTATCTGGGTCGGGGTCAGTGCCTATAAGGGCAAGGTCGAGTGGTTTGACCATCGGCAACAGAATTTCCAAGGGAGTGCTATTTGTTTGCAATTGAGTGACAACCGTTCATTGTCGAGCGATTCCGTTGCCATGTTTTGTTGTAACTAGTCATTCGTTTAGTCTTGTTTTTGTTAAAGCCACGTAAGATTCTTTGCAATTACCCGGTAAAGTACCTACCGGTTTAATGACAAAAAACCTCGAAGTGAAGAAAGGACTGGCCTCAAATCTGTGTTGTAGTCGATTCCCTGCAAGTCCATCGCAAGTCCATCGCAAGCCCATCGCAAGTCCTTCAGTCTGAAGTCAAGTCCCTATAGCTATTCAAATGAACTGTTACAAAGCATTCCTTTGTCGTTGTTCATCCCGTTACTTGTGACCAAGGTGGATCCGGGGGGTGGGGGGTGTCAAAGGGGGCCATGCCCCCCCCCCAAAAAAAAAGAACCCATATTTTTTTTAAGTGACGTCGCAATTAAGACAGGCACTGCGTACACCTCCATCTTTTCCTCCAAAATAGACATTGGTTAAAGTGTCCAGAAATTGCCTCAGATCGCACCATAGAGGATCTAGAATCCAAAACAAATTCGGGTTCCATTAAGCGGGCCCCAAACCACACGCCGCAATTGTTTTGACCCACTTTTGGAGGAACCAAAATTGTTTGCCCCCCCCCCCCAACCCCTATATTGCGTTCAGGATCCGCCCTTGCTTGTGACTGGACTATAGGACTTGTGACTGGACTTGTGACTGGACTTGTGACTGGACTTAAGATAGACTGGACTTCAACACTGCCTCAAATACCCTAAAAAGTATATTCGGCCTGAAGTATCGTTGTATATCTAACGTTGAAGGGGGTTTGAATAAAGGGTTACCGCTGGCACACTTTTTAACGTGCAACGAACTCCAGTTACGAGACCCAATGAAATGATTCTCTGATATTATAGTAAATGTCGCGGGGGTGGTTAATATGTGGGCCGGGGTCAGCACCTAAGGACAAGGTCGAGCGGTACTTTGACCATCGGCAACAGAATATCCAAGGAAGTGAGATTTGTTTGCAATTGAATGACAACAGTTCATTGATGATCGATTCCGTTGCAATATTTTGTTGTTATATTAGTCAACTTTTTTATTGCTTGATTTTATAGTAAATGTCGGGGTTGGGGTGGTTTATCTGGGTCGGGGTCAGTGCCTATAAGGGCAAGTTCGAGTGGTTTGACCATCGGCAACAGAATTTCCAAGGGAGTGCTATTTGTTTGCAATTGAGTGACAACCGTTCATTGTCGAGCGATTCCGTTGCCATGTTTTGTTGTAACTAGTCATTCGTTTAGTCTTGTTTTTGTTAAAGCAACGTAAGATTCTTTGCAATTACCCGGTAAAGTACCTACCGGTTTAATGACAGAAACCTCGAAGTGAAGATAGGACTGGCCTCAAATCTGTGCTGTAGTCGATTCCCTGCAAGTCCATCACAGGCCCATCGCAAGTCCTTCAGTCTCAAGTCAAGCCCCTATAGCTATTCAAATGAACTGTTACAAAGCATTCCTTTGTCGTTGTTCATCCCGTTACTTGTGACCAAGGGTGGATCCGGGGGTTGGGGGGGGGGGGTTCAAAGGGGGCCATGCCCCCCCCCCCCCCCCCCCCCCCCCCCCATCTAACGTTGAAGGGGGTTTGAATATAGGGTTACCGCTGGCACACTTTTTAACGTGCAACGAACTCCAGTTACGAGACCCAAAATTGTGCAGACGTTTTCTCTATTTTGTCAAAATGTATCTACTTAGCTCAAAGTTCAACAGGTTTAATAGTTGTTATGTACCCTACTTATGATTTTGAGCCATTTTGCGTGATTCAAACGAAAAGCAAAAAAAAAAAGCACAGAGCAAATGATTTTAAGATATCCAGTTTTGCAGTTTGAAATAGAAATGGATGACTGGTGTCCGTCCGACGGATTCCCAGATGTATTGAGATTTCCGCCACAAAATCTGATAAAAACGAGAGCTGCTGGGATGTCGAAATCGTGCAATAATGGATTGTTGCAATATCACACTGTCAATGTGAAGGCCGCGTGAAACCGCATCCTGTGTTAACGAGTGAACATTTCTAGGGCAAGATCGAGCGGCACATTACCAAACTGATTGGTTCCTGGGGTTAAAGTTGGTATCTGCGTGCTTTTTCAAAATGTCTATTTTCTTTTCCGAATAACTAAATGTGCATATTTGTTTTTGCAGGCCTTAATACCGTTTTCAAAATTGGTTTTAAATGGTGCGTTCCAGTTCAGAAATTGCGCACACTATTCAAACGAATTGGGAGCGTCCCGCTCTTCATACAAAGTTAATTAATTGATTACTTGTCTTGGGCCGATTTTTTTGTCGTGCGATGTCTCATTGGAAAACTCATAACTATTGCAATGCTAGAAAATTATCAACTCAATTTGAAACTCTATTTTTTCAAGGTGCCACACCCAAAAAGCACGTACACAACCATAGGGATTCATGCTGGTGCTCTTTGATTCTGATAAACACATTCATGTTCACTGTTGAGTAATATCATGCTAAAGAAACATCAAGTCCTTTTACGAAGACAAAGTGTTCAGCCTTTCCATTTGGTTTGAACCTAAAGGCTTACCAATGGTTTCGGATCCAAAGCCGAAACGCTGCCGAGGCTTGAGAGGTGGTGAACGGCCTTAGTGGTCGTCGTTGCAGCGGTCATGACTGTCCAGCTCATCATAAATAATAATCACAAATTGATTTGGACATCGATGGTCTTAGTCTGGACAGATAAGAAATCCAGGTTTATCACTTCGAGTTTTTTTGTGTTTTTTAACTAAAGCTTGAGAGGAATAGATGATTCTAAAGATATGGTACATGTATATTTGTGTTGTGTTGTCAGCAATACTGTTAATTACGGATGAAACATCGTGTTATGATTTTTTTTCCCCCACCAATTACCACCAAATCATCTTGCAACATTTGTATGTGAAGACACGCCAATTTGTGCTTATATAAACGGATTTGGATGACATGATATGACCCGCATGGCCAATTCATTCACTTGTAAAGCCGGTGTGGCGTGAATTGGGACTCTATGAAGTACGGACTCATTGGTAGTATTGCGCATGCTTAAGTGAAGATAATTAAAAGAGGGACTGGTCACGTGAGAGGGTTTGCCCAATAAAATCATTTTGTAGCACGATATGGGACAGGGGGACCCCCCCCCCCTCTTTGTGTTGGTCATTGTGTTACCAGAATCTCAAGAATTCTTTTGAGATATCTGGGGGTGTGTTAGGTAATAGTCTAGGGTGTGTGAGATTGGAAGGGGGGGGGGTACCCTGTCCCATATCGTGCTGGGTATAAATAGGGTAAAGGACTCCGATTTTCGGAGTCCGATTTTCATATGACACCGGCGGTTCATACTTCACGTGCAGCGCGAAGACTTGCCTTGACGTCACAAAGTCGCGTTCGAACCGATCTTTACCGAGATGTAATTTGACCATAGAGCTATATTAAATTACTAGAAAACAGTCTAACCTTTACGAGAATGTTAAGTCGACAGGGTGCAATCAGTCAAAGACAGTCATAATACTTTCTGGACAAGATGACATACAGGAACATTTACAGTGAGTGAAAAACTAGTCGTAAAGCTAAAACGATCGGCGTCGGCCTTCAAGTTGTCCGTAACTGCGTCTAGATTTCCAGGCGGTTTTCGAGAACTTGAGGCGCTTTAGTTAAGTGTTAAGAATTTCAACTGAACTTCATAGCTAGCGGTGCATGAAGTTGCCTGTGACAATTTCATCTTGGTGTAACTACGAGAGTATTGAAAAAGGGCCGTCGATAGTGTCCAAATTAATTGGGGGGGGGGGGTATTTAGCCAACGTGACACTCACTGAGTTTTGTACAATTGAGAGGTTTTAGGGGGGGGGTTCTCTTTGAAATTCTGACCTGGGGACACAAGGAGCACATGCCTCGGATGACATGGGGTTGCGTGCGTGCCCGCTTATTACGCCACTGGTACCGGTCATATCCTGAATCAGCCCCGTGTGTCACCTTTCCCCTTCCCTTTGATCAACAGCCTCATCCCAGGGTAACATCAGGCTGGTCAGCTACCCGCCCAGCACCGTGGAGGCCGTCTGGCCGGCCCATCCCGGGGCCTCCGGCTACATCGTCTCGGTCATCAGCTCTTCCGGGGACGACGTACGGGACATACCGATCACGGACTCGCTGATCACCGTCTACGATGTCAGGACCGAGGCGCCGTACGAGATCGGCATCCGGGCGGTCGTGGACGGCGAGGAGGTGGGCGTCGGAGGGGTCACCCATGTCATAGGTAGGGTCTGTGATCTTTTTATCTAGAGCAGATTTGTGATGGAGTTAAGCTGGTCACTTGACTTAAGACTGTACGACTAATTAATGATTGACTTGTAATGGCATTTTGATGGACTTGTGATGACTTGTGATTGACTTGTGGTAACATTTGACTAGTGATGACTTATGATTGACTTGAGTTATAGTTAAGATAAATAATGATGACTTACGATGACTTACGATGACTTAACCATAACTAGTGATTGACATCTAAGGATTTGTGAGAATTTGACGATTCAACTTTGCTTTAAAACAATATTCCACTTTTTAAGGGCTGATGTTATACAGGGTGAGTAAAAAAAAGTGAAACCCAAATGTCGGGACTATTGTTTTAGTGAAGTTCTGCATGTAGCACTTTCAAAATCTAGGGTATGAAAGCCCAATTCATAAGCTTTCTGTAGTACAAGAATCATTCAAATCACTCATGTACTGTTCAAGTTACGGAATTTTAAACACAACCACCGTTTAAAGTTCTGTCCACGGATCACAAAAAAATGTGTGCGTTCTTTCAGCAAAACGAAAACAATTCGCACACATCCGTTTTCGTTTTGCTGAAAGAACACTTACCTTCTTGTGATTCGTGGACAGAACTTTAAAACGGTGGTTGTGTTTCAAATTCCGTAACTTAAAAAGTACATGAGTGATTAGAATTATTCTTGTACTAAAAGAAAGCTTATGAACTGGGATTTCATACCTTAGATTTTGAAAGTGATACATGCAGAACTTCACTAAAACAATAGTCCCGACATTGGGGTTTCGTTGGTTTTTTTTACTCACCCTGTACAGGAAGTGTATTTGATTGACACTTTTGGTAAATTTGAGTTTTGCTAAATGCACCAGTGCGATTTATGATCAGTGTACATGTACTTTTAGTATATGAATGGCACAGTTGTGCTCTGAAGAAACAGTCAAACCTGAACCCAGCTGACCTCAAATTGGAGTAAACTTGACTGTTTTGGGAGCAAATTCTGATTAGGTGTGTTTTTTACAGTGCAGGATAAAACCCTACAACATTTGCAAACATCAAACAAGCAAAACTACCATATTTCCACGAAATACATTAACTGGACTGTTAGTGAATGACAGTCTAAAAAAGCACCCTGTAAAAACATGGCACCTGGTGTGCTGAAATTTTTGAAGAAAAGTGGTATTTTTGTATCAATGTCCAACGCTGGTCGGCCAACGTACAGGGTTTGAAAAAAATGAGTTTTTTTCGAATCCTGCTCACGATTTATCATAATTATTTATTTAGTTTTCATTCAATATCACACACCTGTGAACGGGCATAGGCCAGCTATAGCCTTGATTCCCTGACCTTATATTCCCCGACATCGGTAAATTGTTCCGTTTCATCTGAAATAGAGTCAGACTACAAGAACATGATTGTTTTTCTTGGTTTTTCCAGCATATACAAACATAAAGCTTCAAACAAGTCAGTGTAACAACATTTGCTACAAAATACTAACCCCCGAATCCATCCATTTCTGAAATTCTAAACTGTGTTAGGTGATTATAATATTGTTGTCAACATACGCACAATAATAATGAAAGGATACAACGTGGTTTCCTAAAACTTGATTCTCCCTTTAAAAAGACCTCCGCGATGTTAGGTAATGAAACATCTGTTCATCTTAAGGCGAGTTACTCAAGACCCGTAATTACTTCATCCCAAAATTGAACCCAAATCCCTTCTTCCTTAAATCAAATTATGATCATCAGATTTAGTTTGTCAACTCCGTATTAATATGAAGCTTATAGGCGTAGCCAGCAAGGGGGGGGGGGGGGGGGGGGGGGTCAAGGGGGTATTTACCCCCCCCCCCCAATATTTTGTAAAGACTGCCCTTTTCCCACCATGCCCTTTTTTCACCAGCGCTTACCCCCCCCCCTCCCCAACATTTTGTATATAGTTCCCTTTTAGTGGTTTTTTTTATGAATAAGTGCCCTTTTTAAAAAGAAGTCGTGCCCTTTTTTGTGCCATCGGCCGTTCCGGGTGCCTTTTTTTTTATTGTAGAAACAATTACCTAACAATCTTTCATCGCTGCATCAGAACGAAGTAGGCCTACTATTTACGATACTTCGAGGAGCGAAAATAAGGAGCATTATTAAAGAGAATGTACAACATTTGCTCTTGCTGCAATTTTCAGCAGTAAATGGATTTGGGGGAGTAGAATGTTATAGAAAATATTTTAAACTGACTTTTTTACGTTTTGGGCTTGAATATGCTGGGAAAAAAAAGAAAAACATCATGTTCTTGTAGTCTGATTCCCTGACCCCACTCAAGATGAAACGGAGCAGTTTGTCGACTTTGGGGAATTGTAAGGTCAGAGAATCAGTCTAGCAGGCTTGTTCTTGTACCCCTTCACAGGTGCGTAATCAATTGCAAAGAAAATGCGGCAAAACCAATTATGAAAAATTAAGAGCAGTTTTTGAAAAAAAAGCCAATTTTCTCCAACGCTGGTCGGCCGACCAGCGTTGGAAAAATACAATTTTTTCTTGAAAATGTCAGCACACCAGGAGCCATTATTTTACAGGGTGCTTTAGAATGTCATTCCCTAATAATGAGGTAAGATATTTCGAGATAATTTGATCATTTCGTTTTTTTGCTTTAGAATGTCATTCCCTAATAATCAGGTAAGATATTTCGTGATAATTTGATCATTTCGTTTTTTTGATGTTTGCAAATGTTGTATCTTCCCTTTAATAATTATAAAGCCTCATGGCAAGTAATAATGTCTGGACTCTACGTTCCTCTAAACCTCCATAGTGCTTATACAGTCGGTGAGCGCCAGGGTTAGGCCAAAAACCAAAAAAAAAATAGTCGGTCTCTGGTCAGACCGAAGTTCCGCAATTGATGCGGCGACGCGGGTTTTTTTTTTTTGGCTTTTTTTTTTCAAGCTTGTATTGTACAAACAAGGTGGGTACTATTTTGCTTTTTTGTGTCCTCATTATACATTGGTGTCCTCCATAATTTGCCTTGATGCCCTTTATCATTTGCCTTGGTGCAAATTCCCCATTCCTTGGTGCTCCTTGGTACAAACATTTGAGGAGGCGCGGCAATAGAGGGCGCTGTTGTAGCTTCCGTGTTAATTTGAAGAGAAAAAAACGTTGACGCGCATGATTAAAATCGACGCGCGCGCTGACCAGAGACCGAGTATTTTTTTTTTGGCCTCAAGTTAGGATTTTAACGAATCTATCAGCCTGTGTAGCATTTTTACACAATATATATATATTTTTTTATTTGTTTATTTTCTACAGTATCCAAAAAAAACACACGACAAATTACAAAATCATTTAAAGAAAATCAAATACAATTGTATACCATTTTACAACGTAAATTTTATGCAAAATTAATGCAAAGAAATATCTGTATGTATACAAGGTAATTGTGATACTGCAGAGGGATCCATTTAGAAAGCACAGCTTGTATTCAATGGTCCCTAATTTACATGCACGTGCATTGAGACAGGAATACAAGAATGTTAATCGAACCATTCAGGTCCATGGCCAATGAACCATTAACATGGGCGTCGCCAGGATTTTTTCTAGAGGGGGGCAAAAAAAAATATTTGCCAAAAAATGCTTGTATTTCTCAACACTTTCCCGATTTATCAGTTTTAGAGGGGGGCAGGGACATTTTGCCCCCCCCCCCAACTCATTAAATTTACACCACTTTGTCTTCGCGCCTCTTTTTCTTTTCTTTTCTTTTTCTTTTTTTTTTTCTTTCCAGGGGGGGGGCAAGTGCCCCCCCCCCCCCTTGCCCCCCCCCCCCCCTTGCCCCCCCCCCCCCCTCGCGACGCCCATGTGAACCAATGAAAAAAAATGTAATAGTAGGTCTCAATGCACATGCATGTTTGCAAGGGGGGGGGGGAAAAGGAACAAAGACAATTTACCGCTAACATTTATACAAGAATTTGGACTAACACAAACAATGGACGAAAACTACAAAGCGACAGCTACAAAGAAGTCTTATCAGATCAGCAGATAAAGTGGGTTAGAATCATAGAGCTGTATAATACAGCTCTATGGTTAGAATGTAGAACAATCAACAATAAGATTCCAGTAAAACAGATTTAAAAATACGTTTGAAAACAGAATTTTTTGTTGATGCTTTTAGCTGGTCTAAATGCCTGTTCCAAAGCATGGGTCCCTCATGTTTAATGGCTTTATGAGCTAGCGAAGTACGGGTGTAAGGAATGTGGAAATATATGGTCCATAAACTCCATCGGTTGTTGAACTCATTCTATTTCGTAGCCCTGACCCATGATCAAGAACACAAAGTACATCAGGAAACAGGAGATTTGGATGGGGAATTTTCAAAGAGGAAGAAAGATCACTTTACATCAGGAAAGCAATAAAATCTAAATGGATTTGTGCATGGGCAACCTACAATCATTGAACTCTCTTGTAATGGTCACAGTTTATCCGACGTGATATTTCCAGGTGAATCTCGGTAAATTACGCATGCGCAAAGTTGCGCAGGGATGCCTTGTTCCCAGTCTACTTAATCTCAACCCCGGTCCAATTCTGCGCGACCACAAAACAAGTGCATAACGGTTATTGCATGATAACGATTTAGTTATCAACGAGTCCAGGCCTATTACGTGCTTTACGTCAATATTTAATCCAATCCTTCACAAAACTTGAAGCTAGAGGTTTTCCCCTATATTTTAAAAGATTTTTCATTCAAAGTCACCAACTCCGTCTTTCAATTTCGTACACGAAAAATTCCACACGTTTTTGAACAAACCAATTTAGTCATTACCATTCTCTTTCAAAGTTTGGTCGCCCTCTTTGAAACGGGTCGAGAATATTCGTTTATTTCAGATCAAATTGGTCTAAGCTGTTGTCATATACAACCCAATGATAAAATATAGGGCTGAGGTAACTCCAACTAAAGCTGTTGCCGAATTAATGGCAGCCAACCATGCAACCCCAGGTGCCAACCTTTTTACGAGCAAGGGAACACATCTTAAACTCCGTGCTTAGGCCAAAAAAATAATAGTTCTGCTTCCGGTTTCCTTACCTACCCTGTTCTGACAGCCCCTACCGGTTTTTTTATTAGAAAAATGAGAAGAAAAAAAACACCCAGAACCATCAATTTCTACCTTTTACCCTTGACTTCACGCAGACGCCTCCATATGATCGTACACATAAACAATTCGTCACCGTTTTCACGAAGAGCCACATATGTCAACAATTACCATTTTTTCAATTTTGATTTTTTCTTCTTCAATATTATGCATTAAAACGATGAACTTAACCATTTTGACATGTTTCTGTAAGCAAAACATCATTAATTTCCAAGTTACATTAATGTTGCAAGGGGCAGAAATCCCGATAAATGCTTTTTGCGTTTTCACGAAGAACCACATACATTTTGGCCCTTTGAACGCGTACAAAACCCATTGCACGGAAATACGTAAAAGTAGGTCAAATGAGATTTCCGTTTTCACGAAGAGCCACATAACTTTGTTACATTTTCAGCTGCGCGCGCGTACTCACGCGCGCCTATGGAAATACACGGTTGAACAGAAAGGGCCAATATGTCGGAAACCTGAATTTGAATTTTCACGAAGAGCCACATATCTTCACTAATTAATTGTCACCAATTAACTGCTGTATTAAGTCTTATTACCAGGTTCATGTAAAAATTCAGCTTTCGTAGAATCGTGTGATGGTTTCCTTGCTGCACAAAGTTGTTGCAAAGTGGTATTTTTTGCAGTTTTAAAATATGAGAAACTTCCTTTGTGATTATCTCGAAAACGCTTTTTCTTCAAAATTAACATTATGTGGCTCTTCGTGAAAACGGTGACGAATTGGCAAAAAAAAAACAATTCCCTACCGACCCTATTTCGGATGCCATGTAATCGGAAGCAGAACCATTTTTTTTGGCCTTAGCCCCCTTCGGCCTTCAATCCCTTCCCAGTAGAACAATTTCAAACCCCATCCCTTGAAAACCGAGCACGAGACGGGAAGCGTGCTCGATTATCGCTTGAATCCATCCGCAAGATCACCATCCGACCGGATAACTTAGACCATTCACCGGGCAAGGACCCGGGCAAGGACCCGTTACACTCTCACTGTATATTCCGGTCTCTGAATTACCCATCATCCCGTCAACAAAATATGGACGGAATTATGCCCGGCATCCCCGCTATGCCGAATGAAAATAACTGTCATGTCAAAGCCATCAACATCATTAAACAGTCTATGATTTGTAATGGGCCATGCACCCGGCACTGCTAATGTAACGACAGAGCAAGGATTTCAGCGGGGCTATGTGAGCGTGGGAAGTCCATCACGCTTGTCAGAATCAGGAAGCAGGATTTGTGTCTCGAGTTAGCTCGGTTTTACCCTCAGAGCATGTGCGATCATTGCACGTTCCCCTCGGAATTGGTGTGAAACCCCGGGGTCTTTTGGATCACCTCACGAAGTGCAGATGGTTTTCTTGTCAATTTAAAACATTGTCCCTGAAAAAATATATATTGGGGATCACCTAGAGCCGCCCACAAATTGGCAATAATATTAAATGGATTATAGACTCGATACCCACAACATTTCATGAGTTTCCTTAGTGTCATGTACTTTTTGAAGCCATGGATTCCTTGGAAAGAATTTTGTCAATTACAGTAGGATCAAACAGTAGTGATGATTATACCAACATTTGCTCCGATGTATTTTCCACGTTTGGTCTATCTGACTTCGAAAATCAACTTATTAAATTAATAGCTTATGGGCTCAAGATACCCATCACATTCAGTTTTCGCATTAATGCCATATCGTGTACATAAATGGATTCTTTGATATGATTGGTTATTATAGAGGCCTGGCCTAAATACTGTCTGATGGTTATTCCACCATTTTGGTCAGAAGGACTTTTAGTTGGTTTGCACTTATTATCTGCAATCGAAACTACAGACTTTCTACTTTTTCTATAGAACATTGAACACAGGAATTTACAGGAGCGGGATTCGAACCTGCGCTCTCAAGTACACCATACCGATGCTGTACCAACAGAGCTATCCCTGCAGTCCTATGTTGGCGGGTCCCCGATTTGTCAATGTCTTTTGTTCATGCTTGGACGTTATGGGCGCACCACACCAATTCAAGCCCCATTGAAAACAGTGTAAAATCAACAAAGTTTAGGGCCAAGTAACTTGCAAGCCGACATGATCACTGGAGTTTCTCAAACAAACACTAATTTATTGTGTTGTCCTTCATCTTTCCATTACTTTTCCATTTTTTTGGTGGGTTAGCAAATATTCACACCAAAACAAACTGCACCTCCCGAAAAGTGATGGTTCCCATCCTGCATGCAGCAGTTTACAAATGGCACCCCTCAACTTTCTCTCTCAAATAGGACCCATTTTTCAACCGTAATTTTTATCAAGTCTGCCCTCAGATGGAAGCCCAAAAAGCAGGGAGTTGATTCTCGGCTATATTTACACAATCCCACCGTTTTTAAGCCAAACTGTCTCCTTTTTCAAAAAAAAGTTGTGGGTGCACTGTTCATGCTAATGAGCTCTCGTAGAAAGTCTCAGTTCAATCACTTCAATACTGAAATTGCTCAATCCGTTCAAATAATATCATCATTTAAACGCAATGACCCTAAAACCTCTTTCGTCCGACAATGCAATTTCAAGAATCGTCGTCACAACATTGTCTTCAAACATCACCAGCGATAAAACCTCAGTTTAAAAGTTAACAACATTCAACACAAAGCCTTTTGTAGGCCCGCCTTAAAAAAAAAGTGGATTTTATAAATCATATTGTTTGCCTAACCAGGGTTGTTAATAAAGATATTGAGTACTACAGTTGTTGACAGTTGTTGAGATAGGTATTCTGTGTCATTTTTTTTTTTTTTGTCAAACAGTCAGAATACACAATAAACTGCTTTTTTTTTAGGTTTGGTGCTACATATTTTTTTTAAATATGAAATTTTTTTTTAGGGGGGTTGGGGGTTGGGGGGTTGGGGCTCCGCTTTTTTGACTCATCCTGTAGCTCTATAGCCTAGTCTTATTGAATCTACTTCCTGACGATATTCTTCGTTTTCCAGCCCGAGACACCAAGCCGCCAATCATCATCAGCTGCCCCACCGACATCACCAAGACCATCCCGCTAGCTTCCGGTGGGGTCAACGTCTACTGGATGCAACCGGAAGCCATGGACGACTCGGGCCTCTCGCCCCTCACCCGCTCCTCCCGAGAGCCCGGCGATCACTTCCAGACGGGGACCGAGGTCGTCTCCTACGTCTTCATCGACCCGTCCGAGAACCGGGCACACTGTAACTTTACTGTCACCGTCAGCGAAGTTGGTAACTATCCGATCGAACATGAGCTGTTGCCATTTTCTGGATGTACAAATGCGTAATTGGAATACTGAACAGGCTCATTATTATTTTACTTTATAATAATCTGATGCCTTGCGAATCAGACTTGACATAATAATGTCCAAAGTCAATTGTAATTTGTCAAGTAGAAGTAAAACGTGTAATGCCAAACATATTATATGCCTCAAGATAACTTGGTTCATCTGTAATTTGTCTTTAGACTCAGAACCACCAATGATCAGCGGTTGCCCCCCAAACATCACCACACCCGTATACTCTCACCTCCTAAACGACGGACTGGCAGTCGACTGGACAGAGCCAGACGTCCTGGACAACTCGGGTCACATCCAGTCCGCAAAGGCAACTCACAAACCGGGGTCAAAGTTCAAACCAGGCTCGACAGTTGTGACGTATCGCTACACCGATCCGTCCAACAACGTGGCGACTTGCAGTTTCTCAGTGACTGTGCAACTGCTTGGTAAGAATATTGGATACTTTTCAGCTAAAGGCAAATCATATACGCTTCACGGATACTGCCATCTCTGTGATCATGTGGGGCATTTCATTGAACATGTTGCCCTTCATGCCATCATGAGCATGATGGTCACGCATTTTCAATGAAATGACCCCAAAAATTACCACTTGATCACAAAGATGGCGGTATCGTGAAACGGTCTATGCCTATTCTACCATTTCCTAAAAGAAAATATGGATCATTAGCGTTTTTAATTAAAATTCTTATCGTGAAACTCTGCGAAAATTGGGTTGATTTAAAATGTCACCTTTTTGTCTATATACTTGATCATGTTGATGCTTTGAGTTTGATCAAATCACCACAAATCATCGCAAGTCAATTGCATATCAGTCACAAGTCAGTCAGGCTCAAGCTTGTATTGAGACAAGATATTCATATGAATTGTAATTATTTCTTTGTCATTGTTCCCTTGTTGAAAACTTGTGACCTGACTTGTGATTTGAGCTGTAATTTGAACTGTGCTGGACTTGTGATTATGATTGACTTGATCACAACTCTCTGAATTTCGATGTTGAAATAAGATTCCAATACTTGAATCCTCAGAGGATCTCGTCCCTCCGACGATAATGAGCTGCCCGAGTGACATGCACGAGACGATTCGTCTAGGCGTGTCGGGCGTGCTGGTGACCTGGGCTGTACCCCAGGCCACCGACGACATCGGCCCGGTGCGGCTGCTCGGCGGCTCCCACGAGCCGGAGTCGGTGTTCCACGTGGGCCGAACGCCGGTCTCGTACATCTTCGCCGATATGGCGGGAAACAGAGCCACGTGCAACTTCACCGTGACGGTGGAGGCAATTGGTGAGCTAACAAAACAAATAATTTTCGATGTCGTTTACTTTAATCAGATCTAGAAAGGGAAGAGCTAAACACATGATGACTTGGCTTAGCTGGCAGTTTCATAATAGAGGTTTTCCCGGCTATTTTAAAACATTTTTTATTCAAATTCACCAACTCTAACATTTAACTTCGTCCGATAAAAATTTCACACGCTTTTAACAAAACCAGTTTCAAATTCAATTTCAAGGTTTGATCACCCTCTTTTAGTAACTGGGTCGAGAATATTCGTCATTACAGATCAAAACCTTCTAAGCTGTTGCCGAATGGCAGAGATTCAGAGATCGAATTTGTCTTATATCAAATCAATTAGACGAATTTGATTTCTGAATAACAAGGTTTGGCGTAGACGAGACGAAATCGAATACTCCGGGACGAAAACGTGTGCTCGTTGTTTAAATTTGCTGGAATTGAATTTGAAATTGTCAGACAAAAGACGAAATTAAAACATTGGAAGTGCACTAAATCGATGTGGGTGGACGAATTTGAATATTAGAAAAGGTGAATTTCAATGATAAACGTTTTAAAATAGCCGGGAAAGCCTATATTTGTTGATGCTCCTGTGTCATTTTGTCCTTTTGCTAGGATTGATGTGTCAGACCGTCTATTCTTACTAAAAGATTTAACTCCCCACTAAACTTTCAGGGTTCATGTTTGCAAATAAGATCTTTCCTCGTCGTCCTCCTTTGTGACTATAGCTGCACTCGAATCACATTCAGGCTAACGTGATATGGTTTTAAATCCCTGCCTCTTGGATTTCCCTGGATTATTGATTTGGAATTTGCACCAACCACTTAAAACTGAACATTATGTTCATCAGGTCTTCTTCTGACACTTTCTTTGAACTTGAATTTACAATGCCTAGCTGTATCAGAAAGAATTGAAACAAGTGATTATTGATGGGGGATTTGCAACAACCACTTAAAACTGAACATAATGTTCATCAGGTCTTCTCTAAGTTTGAACTCGAAGTTACAATGCCTAGCTGTGTCAGAAAGAATTGAAACAAGTAATTTGGCCAACGTTTGAGGATTCTCCATCCCTCCTTTTCCCTTCCCAGACGATGAACTGCCGGTCATCCTCCGATGCCCATCGGACATCAACAAGACCACACCGGGAAACGCCACATCGGGCGTGATCGTAAAATGGAACAGGCCCAAAGTCCGGGACAACTCCAACCTGCCGGTGACGTGGACGACAACGCACCGGTCCAACTCGGCTTTCCCCGCCGGCCAGACCAACGTGACGTACACGTTCACCGATGCGTCCAACAACACCGCCACCTGCGAATTTGTGGTGACCATTTTGGAAGGTATACATGTCCTGATACTTTTGTATAGCTTTTTTTTTAGTTGTAAGAATTTCCCGTCTTTGAAGCTTAGGTATTCTCCTGATGACGGTCAGAGAATACCAAATAATACGTCAAGTGGATACCACTAGATAGAACCACATATTCCCCGCCCGGTCATTTCACATGGATTATCTCCTAATACTTTGCAAGTTCCATTTAGGCGAAGTTTACACTACATACCAATTTACGTATTTGCATGTTATGTAGTAAAGGGAGGTGAATGAATGTACTGTTTTAAACAAACTCATACAGAGATTTTTAAAATCTATTTTACATCCTTACAATAATGTTTACATAGAATTGTTTTGATCTTTCTATAATTAGCCTAAACTCGATTTGAAACATGATATACCCTTCTCAAAAATATCATTTTGATTAAGAACTAATTTGCCACCAATGTTAAACTTTTCCAATACCAAAATTATGTGAGTGAAGGACAAACTTTATTATTTGAATTGCCAAAAGAGTATGCAAGACGTAGGCCTGTACGAATATGTTGTAGCATTAGATATGTTATGAGTAGTTTCATGTCGAGTGATCTTCCGGGGATTAGCTTTCATCTTTTACAAAAGTTAAGTGTCTTGGTGGACTTTACAAGCTGCCCCACCCATTACGTGTGTCTCATATAGGATTGTTTCTGTGGTTTTTTTGCACGTTCATTTTCAGCTCCATCAACAACGACACAAATTCCTTCCACGACAACAATGCCGACAACAACCACGCCAATTCCTACCACTACAACACCGATTCCAGCAACTACAACGCCAATTCCAACAACTACAACGCCAATTCCAACAACTACCACGCCAATTCCAACAACTACAACGCCAATTCCAACAACTACCACGCCTATTCCAACCACTACAACGATGCCAATAACCACAACACAAATCCCTACCACCACAACCCCCATTCCAACAACAACAACAACGCCGATTCTAACAACTACAATTCCAACAACTACCACACAAATTCCAACCACAACACCGGTTCCAACAACTACCACACAACTTCCAACCACGACGCCAATTCCAGCAACTACAACCGAAATTCCAACAACGCCGATTGCAACAACAGTTCCAACCACTGATCTTGCAACAACGCATGAGCATACCACTCCATCAGATGTAGCGACTACCACATTGCATGGCTTAACCTCTCCTCGGGTTGTCGATCTAACTACCACTGCATACCTTGGTACCACCGTTGCGGCAAGGGTTACAATCGGAAACATACCAATCGCTATAACGGCTGGAGAGTACGGTAAGTAAGATTGATCAGGGGCCTGAAACTTTTATGAAATTCATTAACGACAAAAACAGGAGGACCCAGGAGTACTTAAAAACCCTTACCGCATCCTTCCCCGAGTTAGAGTTTGGTTGTCGGTTTCAACGAAGTATGTTTTCTGCAAGCCTTTTGAGGTTTGTGTAACTTCCATCAATCTTGTTTATACCTCTACAATTTCGTGTCTGTTTTCATTGATGTCACACATATAAACATGAGGGAACATTCAACATAAAACAGCAAACAGCTGTTGGGGAAATGTTTATATCACCTCATGGAATTCATAAAATCGATCAGAGCTAAGTAACGATGACACATTGGGAAATGCCGCTTGGCACGTAAACCTCCGAAGGATTAAACCAAAGTTGGCCAAATCTGGTCTTTAAACTCTTCCACTTTTCCCCGGTGGTGGAAGTTTTCATATTGCGTTCCTCACGCAGGATACGCAAGTTATCCATTTATCTCATATCTCGTCTGAAAAAAAAATATTGCATCAATCAGGGCATGTTCCCAACTTCTCCTCAGGGGAGATTCCTTGCCTTTTTCCCTCTGTGACCCGGGACTCGCAATTTTCAGTCCATACCTGATTCAATTATTTATTTCCAGGATAGAGTTCCTTCTCCCAACTTTTAAAAGACCTTCTCTAAAATTTAAAAGCATTCAACTTGAATTAATAGTAAAAGAAAAAGTAAATGATACTAATAAGAAAAAAGTAAAGGATACGGACCTATCCCCATAGTTTTTATGAGCAGGTAAAGAAAAAATGAAGAAAAAAAACCTTGGTAATTTTTAACAGTATTTTCTTTTTTGTTTCAATGTGTGAATGTTTTATACATTTGTGTTTTTATATTGTGAATCTTATTTATATGTCTTTGTGAATTTTTTAATGTTCGTATGTTTGATGTCCGTTTTAATGAAAGTATTTAAAAAAAAATTGTTGCCGTGTTTATTTATTGTAGGCCTATTTGGACTGAATGCCTGTGTGCAATCGTGATTATGTTCACTTTTTAAATTCCAGTCATCATATTTTGTATTAAGTTTGTTTGTTGTGATGGCGAATAAATAATAGTAATAATAGTTATCCTGGATGCTATAATAGGGCGACTTTTCCATAGACTTGGGCACAGACCTGAACTGTCACCTAACCCAATTTTATCTTATCCTTTCTCCACGAAATTCGGTATTTTTTACTAATTGGACCACAAGGAATCGATCTAGATGGTTGGCGACAACAAAATTCCTTGTCCTAAGGGTCGTTTTTACAATAGGGTGACACCAAATTGTCATCTCAATAAGGCGTTTCGAACTAATCCAGACGCGACTTAAAACAAATCTGTCGCCCGTTTTGCGGGATTCTGTAGATTAATGATAACAATATAGTGTAAGTTCCCAAGCACGTATCCTTATGAACATAGCCCAGTCTTTCTTCCATGATACTTTCCATCAGAGGTTTGATCCTTACTTTTTTTCTTTTAAATAATCCACAGGTATATGTGATTGCTATGTGGATGCGATCAACTTGGCGTACATGAGTGACTGTGACATGCCGACAAACTGTGACGCCGACAAACTCCTGGCAAACCTGACTGACGTAAGTTGGACAACGATAGAATGTTAAAGTTTAAAAAAAAAAAGAAGATTTGGTACTATTGGTAACTTCCTGTTTAAAGATGAGTAATAATGACACCCCAAAATTTTCAATAACTCAAGGTTTGTTGAAACGGCTCCTTTAAATTGAAATTGACATAAACCCTCGCTTTACAGGGTGAGATAAAAAACCGAAACCCAAATGTCGAGACCATTGTTTTAGTAAAGTTCTGCATGTAGCATTTTCAAAATCTAGGATATGAAAGCCCAATTCATAAGCTTTTGTTTAGTGCAAGAATCATTCAAATCACTCGTGTACTCATCAAGTTACGGAATTTGGAACACAACCACCGTTTTAAGGTTCTGTCCACGGATCACAAAAAAGTTCAGTGTTCTTTCAGCAAAACGAAAACAAATTATAGCGGATGTGTGTAAATTGTTTTTTCGTTTTGCTGAAAGAGCGCACACCTTTTTTGTGTGATCTATGGACAGAACCTTAAAATGGTGGTTATGTTTAAAATTCCGTAACTTGAAAAGTACACGAGTGATTTGAATGATTCTTGTACTAAAAGAAAGCTTATGAGTTGGGCTTTCATATCCTAGATTTGAAAAGTGCTACATGCAGAGCTTCAGTAAAACAATAGTCCCGATATTTGGGTTTCGGTGGGTTTTTTTACTCACCTTGTAATGCAGGATAATTGATTTTGGCGTCATGAAACTGAGGGGGAAAAAACATCTGGTCATGGCAGGGAAAGAAACCGGAAAAAATGTTGCAACCTGACGCCACTTTTTTCTTCATTTATCATCTCAATGATGGTCATTCATTGCGAAAATGATGATAAGACATGAATCTGGGACGAGAATTTTTTCCAATTTTGTTAGGAAATATTTAAAGACAATTTTCTTGACTCTCCAATCGCGGAAGGGGCGTCAGGTTGCAACATTTTTTTCCCAAAGGACCAAATTATATTCACTCAGTGGTGGGACTTACCTAAATTTAGGCATGACCCAGTTAGAAGAGTGGATAAGGGACGATGACAAGCCATTTTTTGGTCCGATGTCAGTGAGATAACAGTCAATTCGTCATAGACAGTCGACAACGAGAAATAAGAACCAAACCACACTTTGTGACATTTCTGACAAGTCGTTCACAATTTGGAGCAACTCACAAATTTGTATTAGTCAGAATGACATATTTCATAATTGCCAACTCTGGCCAATTGCCAAATTTGTCTCCTGAAATTTACTCATTTTGACGAGTTTGAACAGTATGCGAAAATTTCGGTTGGTTTGAACAGGCAAAGAACTGACTTTCTCCCAAGCTGCATTAGGTATCGGATTAGATTATACATGTTGCTATAACGAATTTGCTTCTTCTTTTTTTTAATGAAGTCCTTCTTATTTTTTTCATTCATTCATTGCGGTTTCTTACACAAAAATATCAAACAGCAAGTCAAAAGACTAACAATGTCTAATCTACAAGTTAAAAACAAATTTATACAAAAGTAAAACAGTAATTACAAAATAAAACAGAAAATATTGGCTTACAAACTAATTGTTACTACAATATTGCACTAAAAATACAATTACACTTTAAGAACAATCATTCAACAGTGTGACCATGAATGGAATCGGTGACTGTTTATACCTCTGGGTCCTTGAACGGGGGAGATCGAGAAGATGAGAATGTCTAAGGTTACGACCAGACACAGTTTGACGAGTTGATGGCAGGCGATAACGGTGTCTTTCAGATTCCAATAAAGAGTTACCAAAGCGAACAATTGATTGGTTACGTCTGGCAGCAAGTGTCTGAATACTAAACCTATTCAAAAGGTCAGCATAAGGGAGCAACAGGATAAGCTATTAAACGATTAAGTGCAATTTGAGTTTTAACAATAAGGAATGGAGAGAAAACCCGATAATGCAAATCATTTCCAATGGATCCCCTTGATGTTTATCATCATTCTCTCTGGTTCTGACACCAAATTTCCTCAAGTACTATAAAAATTCTTGGGAAAAACTTTGGAATCATAAGAAAGGCGACGATATGAAAACATTAAAGGGTGGTTGCAATGGATTTTTTAGGCTCAATAAATGAAGTACACTTTTATTAAATAACACTGGGTTTTATTCATTTCGTGTAAGATTTTGTAAAAGCAATTTTTATTTAAAGTGGGAGGGGGTTAGCCCCGCCTTTCAGGTGGGAGAGAATACGCAAGAGTGCTAATAAACGTGGGTCACAGAAGGCGAACAATGTGCGACTGCACTAACTTAAAGGGCCCATTGTGTTTTTAATGCAGTCCTTGAACGGTGCACCTTTGTGTCCCATTTAAAGTATTTTTTATTTTCATTTTGCCATTTTCAAGGGTATCGTTATGATGCCTTTCTGGTTTTTATGTTAATGCAAATTTCCTTATTTACGAGCAAAACTGTGATGTCATTTCAGGCAGAAACCTCAATGTTACAGCTATTTCTGTGCTAAAAGTTGCCAGCACTTTTGATACATGTACTTTGCTGTTGTATATTTTCTTTGGGTGATTGGTTGTTGTGTCAGTATATAGCAGTGAGCGAAGGAGAAAACGTTTCTCACAAATGTTTCAATGAGCAAATGTTTGGGTTCACAATTTTAAGAGAAACCCAAACTGAACAGTGTCGTCCCGAAATGACATCACATCAATATCAGCGGCCTCAGCTGTCCGAAAAAGCATGGACAATTTTAAATGTCAAAAAAAAGTGCACTTTTCAGTCAAATTAACTAAAAAGGGATTTCAAATACTTTTCTTAAGTAGAAATTAAGCTACACAAAATATGTTACCAAGAAAAATGCATTGCATGGCACTTTCAAATCCCCAGATTTTAGAGTCATATACCCCAGCTGATGATGTTTGCAACTCTTTTTTTTCAATCTGTTCCCAAACAGGTAGCAGTCAACTCGCAGAACGTCGAAAGTTTCACCGGAGCGCTGAGAGTGATATCAACGGCCCACGGTACCATATCGGCCGAGGGCATCGAGTCATACACCACGATCCTGGAGCACATATCCGTGGTCGGATCCACCTCATCAAATGTAATGCGGCCTTGAAATATATTATCTTATCTTACATCTCCCATCATTTAATACCGAGGATCGTGCTACTCGTTCCCTGTGCCCAATTTTACCCTTGAACAAAACACGCATGCTCACAGTTGCGTAGAGGAGATTCCCAAGGGGATTTAATTAAGCGGGAAATGTCAGCGCAAGAGTAAATTGAGCACGTCACTTGGCATAAACATTGCACATTTTCTGAGCCACCTGTGGCTTCAATTTGTCAGCTTGTCAAACAGGATGTGGCAAATTTGGACTTTTGTTTCCTGTGTTAACTTGACAAACAACATCAGGCACCTAGTGTGTCGTTAATCAATTAAGTCCACTTTTTATAGCCCCGGGATATGAAACATATTTCTATTTTTTAATATATTTGTTCCCCAGCCAACAGCGAGTAACCACCAATTACAGGCCGAGTAAAAACATAGCATTATTTTGTATTATATCTTATTTGGGATCATGACACTTCAGGTTTGATGTCACCTCTTTGTACCAAAATAATACAAAATAAAAAAGACGACCAACTTTAAACTTAACATGAACGTCGAAGAATTTGTGAGCCGCTACAACTTAAAAGTCTGGCGGGTTTTTTTCTCTCTGTTCCTTGAGCGCTACATTCTTAAATACTGAGCCACGTTGGTCACAATTTTGCAGCCGTTTCTGCAATTATTTTTGGTGATTTAATTACTGGAAATCTTATAACTCTGATTGTTTGAACTTTCCACAAGATTCTCCAATCGTCGTAGATTTTCCTGTATGTGATCCTGACCACAAAACTGATTTTTCAACTGGTATTTTCAGTTGCTGCCTTCTCAGTGCCGTTTCCACGGGGGGAGGGGGGGGGCAGTTTTCAGCACTTATTGAAATAAATGGTTCGAGTGTTCTGACATCAAGCCCGCTCAAAAACCATTATAATGCGCCTTGAAAATGGGCATATAATTAGCAGTATGTATAATAATGGTCACTTTGAAGAGCGCCCCCATTGGGAAGATGGGTACCAGCCAGAAATATTTTATTTCAAAAATATTTAGACGGACATTAATTTTTTTGGGGGAACATATTGTATAAAACTTGGAAAGTTCTTTCCCAATTTCCTCGAGCTGCACTTCATTCCAATCGGCCTAAATCGGTCATTCTGTAAATTGAGAGTAAAAAAAACCCTTATTTTTTTCCTGCCCCTGTCACCTACCTTGGTACATTGTAATGTGCCATTCATGGGAGTCGCCAGGATTTTTTTCCAGGGGGGGGGCAGCAAATTTTTCCCCAAAATTCCTTAACTTTTTCCCTATATTCTCAATTTATCATTTTCTAAGCGTGAGAAGGTGAGTATTTGCCCCCCCCCCCCCATCAAATTAACAGAAATATGGCTTCGCACCTCTTTTTCCCTTTTTCTCCCTTTTTTCCCCTTGTTTTCCAGGGCGGGGGGGGGGGGGGGGCAAGTGCCCCCCTTCCCCCCCCCCCCCCCCCCTCGCGACGCCCATGGTGCCGTTCAAGTATCGTTGAGAATGAATTATATTTGTTGGGTAGATACTTTGCTTTTCATAATCACTCGTGGAGAGGACGGCTGCATTGAGGAGTGCATCAGAACTGTAAAATCATAGATGTCAGATGTAACAGGGACAGGAAAAAAGTGGACCCCAAATACATGTTCTCATAGCTCTTTTCTTCTTTCATTTTTATCTTTCTATTCGAAAGGTTGCCACAAATGTAATTGAATCAGTTGACAACATGCTGAATGTGCCTCAGGAGGAATTCCACAAAGCGCAGGAGAGAAGTCTGGCCAACACGAGAATCCTCCGATCCCTGGACTTCCATCTCCTGTACGCTCATCGGGGCGGCGAGAATTTCGTCAGCACCGAGTCCAACCTGGCGGCCTGGACCGTGTCGGTCCCCCGCAACTCCAGCGTGACCTACACGGTGCGGACCGGCGGGGCTTCCACGCATTTCTCTGGGGAAGGGGAGACCGTCGACGAGGTGCAAACATCGGAGTATGACGATGTCGTCGTGTCGATTTCACTTCCAACCGAGGTGTTTTGGTACGACTCTGCCCGAGGTAGGTTAATCGACTTCCTATATTTTCTGAATTCCTTAAAGATCATTCCACTTCACGTGGTATTTTCGAGTTTCACCTCGAAAATTAGATTTGTTTTTCATAAAAAGTGATTTACTTTTGAATGAAATTTTGAACAAAGAAATTCACCGGCGTTTAGTTATTGAACTGTTTCTTCACAAAATTCAAATTTTTATCTGGCAGACAATAAATTTGGCTCTCGCGGGCCGGGTTATTGGTGCACAAAATGCAAACCCTTTTCATAGGTTTGCAGACGCCTAAAATCAGAATTTGTTTTTAGTTAAAACAAAACATATAAATTTAAAATTAATTAGGAGATATAATTTAATTTTTTGGAAGAACACGGGGTATGCATTTTTAATGAAATTGAGCCCTAAATCGACACGGATGTAAAACTGTTTTTAACACACTACACTTGAACTTTGCCTCGGAAGAGTGGTACTTACCATTATGCACTTAAATCAATTCTTTTGGATAATCGTAATCAGTGGCGCGCCCAAGGGCTGGGGGGCTTGATTCCATTTTTTTTAGTCCCACGATTTGACCATGGTGATATGTATATGGCCTATTTTCGAGTAATATAGGCCTAATAGGGGTGTAAATGGCCCCACCAGCGTAAAAATAGTCCGTCCCCCCCCCCCCCCAATAAAATTTTTTTACAAAAAAATGTGTAAAAAAAATTGTGGTCCCCTCCTCAAAGCCCAATCCTGGGTGCGCCACTGATCATAATACTGCATCCTTTAAGACCAAAAGAAGTTCCCCTGCTATTCTGTTTGTCTGTCTATCTCGAAAAAGGTCTAGCATGCTTTAGACTACCAAATCAAACTGCACAACCTGGAATAACCAAGTTTACTCTACTTTCATCACAGATCAAAAGATTGAGTTTTTTTTTGTCTGAGACAAGTCTTCACTAAGGTGTTTCATCTAATTTATAGTATCTCTCACAAAACAAAACTAATTCAAAAGAATAGTCACAAAATAGTCATCTACTATGTCATTTGCTTTCAGGAACGGCATCCTCATCCTACCCGGCTATTTTCACCTTTTACAACGACACCAAGTTATTCCAACCAGAGGAAGAGGTTGACATCAACAGCGCGGTGATAGCTGCCAGCGTGGCCGGTGTCATGAGGGAGATATACCTGCACAACGACTCGGCGATCATCACGCTCAAACCTTGGCAGGTGGGTTTGTTAAGTATTTGAGGATTAAAGGGTTCAAGCGATGAATGATTTTTAGGAACACATTTTTGTGCACCTTTCTACTCCTTATGTATGAAAACTATATCTGACATTCCTTTTCGGTTAAGTATATTGATAAAGTGCACTTCTTTTTACATTGAAAAAGTTTAATGCTTTTTCCATAGAGCCATATTAATTTTTTTCAGACAGCTGAGGGCGCTGATGCTGCAAGTCATTTCAGGAAGACACTGTTCAGTTTCTGGGTTTCTGTTCAAATTGTCAACCCAAAATTTACTCATTGAAAACATTGGTGAGAAAGGGTTACTCATTGGCTTACTATACCATGTACTTACACAACAACGTATGGAAGTGTAAATTTATGACAGCGGAATATATCCAAATTTCTAGTAACTTTTTGTGCTGAGAAAGCTGTAACATTGAGATCTTGCCCGGAACGACATCACAGTTTGGCTCATGAATAATTATGGAAGAACCAAAAAGGCACCAATATACCCTTGAAAATGGCAAAACGAAAATTGAAATAAGGTTAAATGGGACACGAAGATGCATTTTCAAGGATTGCATTGCTATAAAAAAAAAATCACATTGCATGACTTGGCCCTTTAAAGGTGAAGATGAGCTTTCAGCAATGCGATATGGGTCACCTGATCTGTAATATAGATTGAAGTTGAGTTTTAATCATGGGACTGGTTAACTCAAGATACAATCATTGGACTGGAAACTGAAGTTGGGTCTTTAAGCATTGGTTACTGTGAGTCACTACTCAAATTGAAGATTGAGTCTTCAGTCATTGGCGAAGAATGAAGTTGACTCTTCAAGCTAGGGGTACACAATATGAACGGTTCACATTATGAACTTGAAACTTGGTAGAAACATAACCCCGATCGTGAAATTTCGTTCATAACTGTGAAAACAAGTGAGCTGATGAACAGGGTGAGTCAAAAAAAGCGAAACCCAAATGTCGGGACCATTGTTTTAGTAAAGTTCTGCATGTAGCACTTTCAACATCTAGGATATGAAAGCCCAATTCATATGCTTTCTTTTAGTACAAGAAACATTGAAATCACTCATGTACTTTTCAAGTTATGGAATTTTAAACACAACCACCGTTTTAAAGTTCTCTCAACGGATCACAAAAAGGTGTGCGTTCTTCAGCAAAACAAAAACAATTCTGTCAATTCACACACATCCGCGAAGTGATTTGTTTTCGTTTTGCTGAAAGAACACTGAACTGTTTTTGTGATCCGTGGACAGAACCTTAAAATTGTTACCCTAGATTTTGAAAGTGCTACATGCAGAACTTCACTAAAACAATGGTCCCGACATTTTGGGTTTCGTTTTTTTTTTACTCACCCTGTATTTCTTGTTTGTGTTACATTTTACATGACCTTCAATCAGGCAAAGTGTGTTGATAAACATGCAAAAAAATCATCTCGGCTTTTCTGTAAAGATAAAGAAAATTTCCGAATCTCAATCGCAGGAGTATCACGGCCGGGAGTCAGAGTGCGTGTTCTGGAACCGGTCCCTCGCTGAGGGTGACGGGGCCTGGTCGACCAACGGATGCCACCTGGCCCACACGCTGGCATCCGGCCACATCGTCTGCTCCTGTAACCACCTTACTCACTTTGCACTGCGTCTGGTAAGTCTCAACATTTGAAAAGATTGAAGAATGAACTTGAAACTTGGTAGAAACATAAACCCTGATCGGGAGATGACTTCATCACACTTTCAATCATAACTGTGGAAACAAGGATAAATTTGAAACATTGTAAAAAAAAAAAATGTGGCCTGACGTTGCAAACTTAACAAGTTCTTCTTCAGAGGCAAAATAACGGAGGTACAAGAAACAAACATGTAGGGACTCACGAGCATGCAGGGTTTGGAAGAGAAACACAAAAGGGATTAATTTGGTTTAATTATTTTGGGGGGGTTTAAAGAGAAACCAAGAATCCTTTTGCCAAATCCAGGTCGCATTGGTGAAAGGCGAAAAAACCCTCTTTGCTAACTTGATTTTTTTTCAAGATCTCTGTGGTTGGAGGATTTTCCTTATTAAAGGCACAATTATAGTACTTGGAACCGTGAAATATGATAGAATCCTTCTGTTGACTCGAAACAAGCAGAACCCTTCCTTTAAGACTCAAAAACGGAATGAGGAATATGAGTGTACCTGCGATCACATTTAAAGTTGCATTCATATTGATATTTTGAGGTGAAAGATTACCAAAAGGTGCTACACATCCTTGGCCAACTGGAGTGCTGTTCTAACGTTTTAATTAATGTTAACAGGCTTGATTTTATTTTCAAGATCTTTGTGGATTTTCCTTATTAAAGGCACAATTATACTCGGAACCGCGAAATATGATAGAATCCTTCTGTAGACTCGATTCGAGTAGAACCGTTCCTTAAAGACTCAAAACGGAATGAGACATATAAGTGTATCCACGATCACATTTTAAAGTTGCATTCATATTGATATTTTGAGGTGAACGAATACCCAAAGGTGTAACACGTCCTTGGCCAACTTGAATGCTGTTCTAAAGGGTTAATTAATGTTAACAGGCTTGATTGTTTTTACTGAGACTTCGTCAGTGACTTGTTTCTTCAATTTTATGAGCTTTGCAATATCCTTATACCAACAGACACCCAAAGTCTTCATGATTGACATCATAGTCTTTGCTGGCTGCGTGTTGAGCATCGGCATGTTGACGGCTGCTACCATGATCAGTATGTGCATATGGTAAGTTAAGTGCCTCCGTTTCGGAAACCGAGGGGTTTGTCTTGCGATGTCTGTCGGAACAGGCAATCACATTCACAGCTAATTGTTTCACTTGTTCAACACAAGTGAAACCACTCACTAGTCAAATCACAAGCTAGATATAAACACAATCGTTTCATGGAGTTGTGTGTGGCGATCACACACTGGTTGTACGTTCCCCACAACTTTGTTTAAATATTCCTACCAAATGGAAAACTTCCTGACAATGCGGTCCTTTCAAAGTCATAACGAGATTTGATTGATCTATATTCATTAAATCCCTTTGGGAAAATGAAACCAATGGTAAGGCCTACTCAAAAGAGAGAGCTAGACAGAAGACAATGAAGAACTGTTAACTTTCAGAGATGAAAGATATGAACCCTGTGTTACAACTGATAATGTAACAATCAACTGATAACATATCACCAACCGATAATGTAACAACAATTGACCAACACTGTATCACTAACTGATAATGTAACACAAAATTGACTGATAGTGTTCTAAATGTCATTACACTATCAGTCAAGTTTCAATTGTTACATCATGGGTTAGTGATACAGTGTTGGTCAATATTTGTGACATTATTGGTTGGTGTTTTTTTATCTGTTGGTTATTACATTATCGGCTGTAACACCCTGGATTGATTTTATTTCCAGGAAAAACTCAAGGAGTCAGGCAGGGACTACCACCCTCGTTCACTCGTCGGCCTGGGTGGGAATTGAACCATGGTCACAGTGGCGGAAGGCAAGGAAAGTACCGCTGCGACAGCTTGGTTATCCAAACAAATGCAATATGGCTGCCGATACATTTTAATGGCAACCGCTTTAAGAAAGACGTTTTGCAAATAGGACACATTTATGTAATAAATAAGGGGGGGGGCACTAATTACGATGTTATTTTCTGTATTGAAATATCCTGTTCGTTGTAGCAGTATTGGTATATACTTTACTTGATCTAAAATTCTAACATTTTTGTAAAACTGGTATGTTGGTCTTGTTCTTACGTATGCCAATAATGAATGATTATAAGTGCAGTGGTAAGAATAATTTAATGAGGGGACAGATAAAATGTTCCATTCCATGAGGCAAAGCCAAGTGCTATACAAGATTCCATCTGCAACCGAAATAAAAAGAAAACTTTCCATTGCACGAATGTGAAACATATATTATTTGTTTTATATACATGCCTGAATAAATCCTCGTCATCTGATCGGTAATACTGTGACCCTCACCATATACAATGGATTTACACTCAACCAAAAAAGAAAGTCGTCCCCCCCCCCTTCCAATACGATTTTGTCTAACTCACAAACTACTGAGCACCTAATAACGACTAATCAGTACAGAAATTCCTTAGCAATCCAGCCATACTCTTTATTTGGCCCAAAACAGTGATAATGTGTACGAATTAATGCAATTCATGACAAGTGATACCGAAAACAGTTGCACATTTGTATACGTGCAAGTTGTGGTTCACACTCAACTTGCACGTATACAAAAGTGCAACTTTTTTTTCCGGTACCACTTGTCATAAATTGCATAATAGTGTAAACATTATCACTGTTTTGGGCCAAACAAAGAGTATGGCTGGATTGCCAAGGAATTCCTGTATTGATCAGTCGTAATTTGAGCAAGATGTGCCCAGTAGTCTTTGAGTTAACGAACAACCAATCAGATGACGGGGATTTGTAAAACGTCAATTACCCTGCAGTTGCGTCTGTTCACTCAAAAATAATGACCAATTTGACAATCTTCGTATCAGCAGGGCTAAGATCCCCCAACGCACCGTCATCAATCTCTGCATAGCGCTGCTATTCCTGAGCGGGCTGTTCCTGGGCGGTATCGACCAGATCAAGCTGGCGGACGGCATCGGCTGCACCGTCATCGCCGCCCTGCTACACTACTTTCTGCTGGTGGCCCTGAGCTGGACCGCCGTCGAGTCGCTCAACCTCTTCTGGCAGGTGGTTCTCGAACGGGACGAGTTCCTAAACAGGTCCATCGTGCGGGTGACCGTCGGATGCTGGGGTGAGTTTTGGGAGGTGTTTTCCAAATCTTGATGTTGTCTTCAGTTTCAGCTTTAAGAATTAGGTCACTGTGGGAAACTTGGCAGAAAAAATGTTGCAACCTGACGCCACATTTGAAACAGAAACGATTTGTTTGGCTTACCTTGTACCTCAGAGAGTATACTTTCATGTGCGAACTGTGAGGAATATGTTGACAAAATCTTTAAGAGAGATTTGTAGACGAATGTGTGCCCAACTAAGTAAATTTTAATATTTCACTGCATGTTAACACTCTTAAAGACTTTGTCAACATATTCCTTACAGTTTTCAAATCAAAGTATACTCTCTGACGTACAAGGTAAGCCAAAAAAATGTCCTATTTTCTGTTTTGAAAGTAGCGTCAGGCTGCAACATTTTTTCCAACTTGGCTCCATTAGCAATGGTGTTTTCCAAATTTCGACCTTATCTCCAGTCCGGCTCAAGAATTTTTTTGGCCACTAGCTTTCAGGAATCCGACTTGATCATTTTAACTTGCAAGAACATTTCCAGTATGTCCATTAAGTCCTGTCATTTGAGGTCACAGTTTAGTGTGTATTTGCACTTTGTTATGGCATCAAATTTTGGCTTTTTGATGATTCTTGGCCGGACAAAAGGCAGTGCACTGCAAAAACTGCAGTGTTAAATTTACACCATTGGTATCTATATAGGACCATCTGGTGTTAAATGTTACTGGTGTTGTCCTATATAGATACCGAATGGTGTTAAATTAACACTACTGTTTTTGCAGTGTGGAGTGGAATAAACCTGATATCAATTTTTGCAAAATGGCATTCGAAAAGAAGTTCACTGCTCGCTTATTGCCATGCAACATGGGGTAAAAAACAGGGACAAAAATGGTTTGATGATCTTATTTCAGACTTTCAATAGTGTACAGGTCGGCTTTTCATGTTGTATTTTCATTTTGAAAGTACACAACCTACGTATGTGAACCGCTCTGCAAAAATGAGTTTGTTGTGGCAAAACTGATGTTTAGAGTTAACTACATCAATGAAATGGGAATGAACTCAGCTTTCATTTAGTATATCATGGACCTCGATCTCTATGATACTTGGTTGCATTGTTGTGCTTGTTTCATTCTGTCCATTTTTTACAAAACTAGAAACGTCTCAATTGAGAAAAGAAGGGTTTGAAAATGACACATATACTCATTATACTGTATAACTAATCAAGACAATCACCCAATATCTTTATTTTGTTAGTCTTTTTCGTACCATATTTAAATTTCTTTGTAAGACATTTAAACTAAATCTATAAAACAAAAAAATTCCAAATTGTGATCAAATTTTCACTGTTTCCATTTCAAAATGGCAAACGCTTGAATTCAAATTATGCGACATCTGACTCATTTTTGCAGAGCAGGTCACGTTATTGCTTGAGAGTTACCATTCACTAATGAAGGGGAGCCACAGCCAAAAAAGCATGGACATTTAATCTGCATCGTTATTAACACACAGTGATTTTTTGGGGCTGTTTTTGCATACAGGTGTACCTCTACTATTTGTAGCTTACTCCCGAGTCATCATCTACTTAGTAACTGATAGCTGGACAGAGAACAGCAAATTGTAAGCTATGTTGTTTTGTATCAAGTAATTGCCATTCGTAATTTTTGCTTTGGTTATTTTGCTTTGCATAATGTCAATGCTCTTTGAATTTTCATTGACCTAGTTTTTCAACGCTGCATTAACCCTAACCGAACTCAACGCATCAAAGTTCAACAGCAGGTTTTGTGTAAATCTGTCGGGATAGGGACAGTAGGCCTACCCCTAAACTGATGGTCTTTTACATTGGGTTTGGCATACCTCCAGAAACTAAGTCCAACAGTGTGTGTGTACAATTTCCCATGTGGGTGTTGGAATTTGCCAGAATGGGTATGGTTCCTAGTAAATTATGCTAGGGAGTTAGGGTTTTTGAAAGTGTTTTAAAAAAAATTATGTTACATGAATTTTTACAGGACTAAATAGTAAGGGCTAAGCGTATCCTTTGGAAGGCCTGCATCCCCACTCAGATTTTGGTTGTGAAAAAAAATTACATTAAACTATGACCAAGCCCATGGAGTGTCCGCACCAGAACATAAAGGTCATTTTGTGCCATCCCCCAAGATAGTTGGAATCTAGTAAGGCCAAAGAACTAAACTTTTTGGAGAGTTTTCAGTTTAATGATTGGTGTCTCTTTTGATTTGTAGCTGTTTCCTAAACCCCGGTATTGCCCTGTACTCTGGCGTGGTTTCTCCCATTGTCTTGCTACTCGTCTTCCATCTTTACATCATCTGCATGATGCTACGCAAGCGTCTCTGCAACCGCTTCGGCAGCAGCGACCGCCAGGTCATGCACGCCGTCCGGCGCTGCAAGCTGACCCTGGCCCTGAGCGTGCTCGTCGCGCTGGAGTCGGCCGCCTGCTACGGCATGCTGCTCCACGTGGACTCGGTGCTCTACCGGGCCGTCTTCAGCGTCATTGCCTTCTGCCTGGGGGCCGTCCTCCTGGCCGGCGTGTACTGCCTGGGCAGGAAGGACTTGCTGGACAAAGACTGCGGCTTCTGCTGCCGCATCACCATCGGGAGGACCTCGGCCTACCACGTGCAGAAGAAGATGGTCGGCAAGAAACTCTGCCGGAACAACGGCGGGCCCAGAAGCAAGTCACCCAGCACCTTCCGCGCCACTCGCTTCACACGAGTGGGAACGTTCCGCGCGCCCATATGGAAGGGTGAAGATGTTTAATGGATCGAAAGATCGTTTAGTATTAGTATGTACAAAACATAGCGTTGATAAACCAACTTTCAATTGTGCCAAATTATTAAGATAACAAGCAGATTTTTTTTAAAAGCCTACATTTTATATTGGGGGATGAAATGGTCGCGCACAATATTATTGTACGAATATAATATATACGGGCTGTCGATAACAAGACTAAACAATTTATTGGAGTTTTACATGATCTACGATCATATCTTGCATATCATGGATGTCACGGGGGCCGGCGGAAGGAGGGGGTGCTTGCCCCCTCCCCCCCCCCCCCGGAAATGCAACAAACAAAAAAGAAGAAAACAAAGAAGACGAGGTCCGAAGTAATTTAATACTCGGACTAATACATAAATTGCCATAGACACCTACGGTAAATACCCTCACTTTAAAAAAAAATCATGTTTTAAAAAAATCCTTGAAACTCTCAAATATCGTTCATTAGCAGGACACACATCAATATCAAACTTTCAAGAACCATATCTCTTCCTCTGTTTATTTTAATTGGGTTATTTGAGACCGTCTCGAGCCCTTTTTTTTGCGGTCTCGGTCTCGGCCTGCCAAAAGTTTCGGTCTCGGAAGAGCTGAACTTGGTCTGGGTCTCAGATGACTTGGTCTCGGTCTCGGACATGGTGGTCAAGATCTCGACTACAACACGTGCGATTGCAGAGATTTTGGGCAGTCGTGAATTGTTGTAAATCGGATTTTACTTGCGGAAATACTTTTATTTTTTTTAGCCTGACTGGACAGAGTATTTTCTAGAACTGCATTTATAATGTAAATAATTGTTATACTCGTGTACTCGCAGATATGATCTGTTAGCATGGGCACTCTGTACAATATATTTATAAAATAATTATTTGCAGAAATGAGATGTTTAAGGCTAGACAGGGTGAGTAAAAAAAAAACGACATCCAAATGTCGGGACCATTGTTTTAATAAGTTCTGCATGTAGGCTAGCATTTTACAATCTATGAAAGCCCAATTCATAAGCCTCGGCTTTAGAACAAGAATCATTCAAATCACTCGTGTATTTTTCAATCTACGGAATTTTAAACACAACCACCGTTTTGGAAGTTTTGTCACACTGATCACGAAAAGTTTAGTGTTCTTTCAGCAAAACGAAAGCAAATTACATAGGGATGTGTGTGAATTGCTTTCGTTTTGCTGAAAGAACGCACACCTTTTTTTGTGATCCGTAGACAGAACTTTAAAACGGTGGTTGTGTTTAAAATTCTGTAACTTGAAAAGTACAGGAGTGATTTGAATGATTCTTGTACTAAACGAAGGCTTATGAATTGGGCTTTCATATCGTAGATTTTGAAAGTGTTACATGCAGAACTTTACTGAAACATTCACTAACTTGCAGAACCAGATATTTGGATTTCCTTTTTTTTTTACTGAGCCTGATGAAAGGCAACATGTAAAGTCCCCCTAAGAGAAAGACATCAATCCATTAGTCATCAGTACTCGATAACGGGGCATTTTCCAGATTTCCTTCGATAGGCTCCACACTTGCCGAGAGTCAAAACTACATCACATAGCTTGATGTTTAAAACAACGGATTTGAAAATAAAGTTGTAGGTGTGATTTTTGTAGCATTTTTGTAATTTGAGTTTTTGACGAAAATTTTTCATTCAAATTTTTCATTTTGTGGTGTACAACTGTATATGTTCATTTTCTGGTACATTTCTGTATATTTGCCGACTTTGAGTCAATTATTTTGCTAACACTTTTACTAATTGTTCATAATTATAGCCAGAAATATTGAAGTGTTTTCTTCCGTTTGTTTGAGACTGCATAGTTTAAAGTTAGTTTCATATTGTCATCATTAACTCCCTAAATTGTCATAAATCCAATTCAGTTGAAACTTTTTACTCAATATCCGAATGGAGATTCCAAATATTTAATCCTGTATGCATATTTAATATAGGTTTTCCCGACAATTTTAAAACATTTTTTTTCATTCAAATTCACCAACTCTAACATTCAATTTTGCCAGAGAAAAATTTCGCACGCATTTAACCAAACTAATTAGTCATTTACCATTCAATTTCAAAGTTTGGTCACCCTCTTTAGTCACCGGGTCGAGAATATTCGTCATTACAGATCAAATTCGTCTAAGCTGTTGCCGAATGGCAGCATTCAGAGATCGAATTCGTCTCATATAAATCAATTAGACGAATTTGATTTCTGAATAACAAGGTTTGGCGTAGACGAGACGATTTCGAATACTCCGGTACGAAAACGTGTGTTCATCGTTACAATTTGCTTGAAGTGAATTTGAAATTGTCTGACAAAAGACGAAATTAAACATTAGAAGAGCACTCAATCGATGTTGATATGAATAAACTTGAATATTAGAAACGGTGATGAAAACATTTAATGATAAACGTTTTAAAATAGCCGGGAAAACCTATATCTTAAAAGAAGTTGCAAATTGACAGCCCCCCCCCCCCCAAAGTAATAATAATGAAAAGCAGTTGCCAACACTCTGATGTTTATTTCGTAGCACTCGCGGTTATTCAAATTTATTCAACGCCTGAGTAAATCCCCGTCATCTTATTGGTGGGTTGTTGATGACTTGTCAATTAATTAATTGTCCAAAACGCATGGCGCAGCCACTTCGCACCGCAAAAATAAAAGACCAACCAATCAGAAATGATGAGTATTTATGCAAGCGTTGTATAAAACAAATAATGAATGTTACAACAAATGAAAGAATTATTTCACGAGTAGATTATATTTATGTTCCATTAACTCAACTTTTGGAACCTTCCCGTCTGTAACTTCATAAAATTATTCTTACTCACACATTTTTTTATTTGTGTGATATAGGTTTTCCCGGCCAATTTCCTAAAATGTGAGAACCGCTCTGAACACGCGTTTCATTTTCGCTACCAGAGCATTCGATTCCTTATTGATTGAACATTTCTGTTCAATCAATATCAAGTGATTGAGCAGCACCATTCGTTTATGTTCGTTCAGATTTGTTTACAAGACTTCTTTTTCGCGTTTAGAAGGCGATTTCAAACATTGACTATTCTATTTCACTTTTAGTTCAATGTTCTGTGATGTAATCTACTCTTTTGAATGCGAAAAAATATACTTTTGATTGCAGATTCACGAAATTGTATTCCAGAACTCTGCAAAAAGTGAACGCACAGGTAACGTAATTGGCCGTCTGTTTCTCAAAACCGAAAGCACGGACAATGAAAACGATTGAACTTTCGTGGAAATTATATAGGATTAAAGACGTGCATTCAAATTCAGAGGAAGATGAATAACCGATTTTCAAAAGTGAATGAACATTTCATCTCACATTTGTCTCATTGAAAAGCCATTGACGTATCTAATGCTAAAAAAACCCCGAAGTAGTCAGTGTTATTTTGGGGGTTGCAATTACCTCTAAAAATAAGGTCATATCGCAGAGTCAACATATGTTCTGGGTTATTTCCTGGTCTGCGTTTAAAAAAAAACGAAGAAGAATCGTGGAATTCAAAGGAATCTATAAGCTTATGTCATTATAAAATCATCTGAATCCACTTTACAGTTAGTAAAAAAAAATACATGATTATTTATAACAACGTGTCCTGTAGTCTTTATTGCTTGCCCTCTTATTGCAAGAGAGTGTACGGCCCTTGGTCAAAAAGGTTTGGCGCTGCCCGGATAAATCACGCTGCAAAGCATTAACGGCACACTCTCGCAAAACTTGGTCGGCCAGCTTTCTGTACAAAACCTCATTGGCTCGGGGTTTTGTGCGTAAACCTTATCAGTCAGCCGATCACGCTCAATTGACTTCGGCCAAGTTGATATACTAAAGGTTTTTCCGGCTATTTTAAAACATTTTTCGTTCGAATTCACCGATAACTATATTCAAATTTGTCCAGTTACATCGATTTAGTGCGCTTCCAATGTTTAATTTCGTGTTATGTCAGACAATTTCAAATTCAGTTCAGGCAAATTCAAACAATGAACACACGTTTTTTGTCCCGGAGTACTCGATTTCGTCTCGTGTACACCAAACCTAGTTGTTCAGAAATCAAATTCGTCTAATTGATTTATATAGGACGAATTCGATCTCTGAATGCGGCCATTCGGCAACAGCTTAGACGAATTTGATGTGTAATGACGAATATTCTCGACCCGGTGACTGCAAAGGGCGACCAAACTTTAAAATTGAATGGTAAATGACTAACTTAAATTTGTTAAAAGCGTGTGACGTTTTTCGTGGACGAAATTAAATAATAGAGTTGGTGAATTTGAATGAAACATCTTTTTTTAAGCCGAGAAAACCTATATTATAACGATAAATTTTAGTTAATGGGTAAAGTCAACTTTACGCGTTGTTCACGTAGAGTTGACCCTATACCTAATTGTACGCTAAACCCGCTTCACGAAATGAAGTCAAATGTTCATCACACTCAAGGTGCCGCGCTCTGGGGATTACTTTTTACAAATAGGTCACTAAAAGGTTTGGCTACTCCGAGTTGTTACAATGTAACACAATCTGTGAAGCTGCGTTGATTGCTTGCCAGTGCATTATGTAAGTTAATTGTGATAGCGGTGCAGCGAGTTGACCGCAGATTTAGTTTGGTGAAGTAAGAGCTTCCTTTATCATTGGGCCATGTGGTGGGTGTACACAGTCATGTGGTTGCTAAGGCAAAGCGTCTGCCGTTGTTAAGCAAAGCTAATCTGATTACGTTCTTAGACGCTATAGCGAGCAGTGAAATTAATGCGCCACAAAAAAAAACATGGCCTTATGAACGTTGTATGTTCAGTGTGGTGGAAATGTTAAATTATAACAAAAGAAGAAATTCTATAAACTTCATGTCAGTGAAAAAAAACTCGCCGTCATCGATGACAAAACGTCAATACAGGTTACTGGTATAGCTGACCTTCAAGTCTGGAAGAAATCGTTCGAAAACTTCCCCAAATCTATGTATTTATATAAATTTCTAGGAATTTCTCCAGATTGTTATTTCACGAGTAGTTTAACACTGATATCATCTAAATATGTTCCGAATTTCAGTTTATTCTGTTGTTGCAAACGCTAGCGTTACACCGTGAACCATCTCCATGGAAAATTTCGACGAGGATTTTCTGATGCCGCCGAACCAACTTGCATTGTTCAGCAAAGCACCGTAGGCGCTACGCGGGTTGACCGATTCCGGCCAAGCAACACAATAACGTATAGTAGATATAGCATACCATTTAAAGCATACCATTTATAGCACTAACCAATGGAAGCCGGCAAAAGGATTTGCCAATTACTAACTCCTGATAGAGGCTTTAAAGGGTTAACCTTATTAAATAGTGGGAGGCTTGAAAAGTTGACAGATATTGCAAACGCCAGTGTTACACTTTCCAACGTACCCAGGCCTATTTTTCAAATTTCAACGAAAAGTAATGAACATATCACAAAATTTTTAGTACGTACTTGGATCATTAGAAGGGAAATAAATCCTGAAAGTTGCATCATGAAACTGGAGATTTTTTTTTTCAAAGATTTCACCCGCCAACGTGAACATGTCTGTGTACATGTAGTTTCATTCAAAATAAAGTGTTACGTAACCTTTCGAAATCGCCCTTCGTAACCACAAGGCTGTACCGTGTAATAATACACACACATCGTGCACGCGTTGCATAAAAACGACAGGAAACACGTATCCAATGTAAACAATCGTTTTTCCCTCGTCTTTTCTCGGGAACGGTAAGACATTTGGTTGCTTTC